ATCATGTAACTTTCAGAGCTGTCCAGTGTGTGATTCCTTCTGGCCTTCCTTCTGTTCATACTTCATTTTTTTTAACCCTAGCTTTTTTCTCCCTCCCACTACTCCCCCTTCCTGTTGAAAAGCAATGCAAAACCCATATTTAGCAAGTAATCACAAACAAGCAAAACAGATTTCTACATTGGCCATGTCTTATGCATGTCTGTCTAGCCAGCCATCCCTCCATCCCTCTCTCTCTTTCTCTCTCTTTCTCTGTGGCATGGCCAAAGTGGGAAATTTATTTTCACTTCACTGTATATGTCTATAACAGATGTTTTGTTTTTCTTTTTCGTTGAAGGGAGGTAAAGAATAACATTTAATTTGAAAAATACAAGTATTCCAGAGAGTGGCTCAGGAATCATATCCACCAATTTAGTCAGTACTCAGATGCAGTTCATCTAGGCCAGGGAACTGGAACTTATTTTGGACAGTTAAATACTCTCTTACTGTCTCCTTATTTATCTTAGGTGTCAACTCTTTAGTTATTCATTTTTGTTTTGTCCAGTTTAAATATCCTTCTGTATGGCAAAGAAGACAGAAGCAAAATAACAATAGAGCAGTCCTCATCCTAAAAAGTAGTTTGTCCTTAGATTATTAGATCAGGAAGAGCCATTAGGGATCATTTGTTTCAATCCTCTCATTTTGCACATAAGGCAACTGAAGATCAAAAAGGTTAAGTAAATTGCCCAAAGTCACACAGCAAGTCAGAGGCTTAAATCTCCCAAGTTTTATCATGCTACCTTTAGTTTGGTAAATTCACATTCTCAAACGGGTTGCTTTATAGGATATAGAAAATGGTAAAAGGAAAGAAATTTGGGTGGCTACAATCACTGCTGAGTCATAACAGATGTGCAAAGAATATAAAGTTTTGCATTTAAGCAAAAGGTTCCAGGTGCTTATCCTATTGTTCCTCTGTCTAAAAGTTATGGTTTAGTGGGGAGAAGGAACCTTGAAACCAGTAGGACTAAGTCTCTGTCTCTTTACATGTCCATATGCGTGAGAGAGAGAGTGCTCATTCTACACTCTCAGACTTACGTAGAAGGAAGTAGACAGCATGTTTGATCATTAGTTCTTTGACATTGTGGCTAGTCATTATGCTGATGAGAGTTCCTAAGTCTTTCGGAATTGTTTTATCTTGACAGTATTGTTGTCATATAAATTGTTCTGGTTCTGTTCAACTCGCTCTGCCAATTAGTTCATACAAGTCTTCCCAGGTTTTTGTGAAACCATTTCCTTCATCATTTCTTATAGCACAATAGTGTTCCATCACATATACTATAATTTGTTTAGCTATTTCCCAATTGATAGGCACCACTCGGTTTCTGGCTCTTTGTCACCACCAAAAGAGCTATGAATATCTTTGTACATCTTTATTCACTTAGGACTATTACCTTAATCTACCTTCCCTCTGATTCGCCCTTCTCCCTATTCCTTATTTCCCTTTTGAGTGAAATGCATTTTTATACCCAATTTTGTGTGTGTGTATTTTTCCTTCCTATAAATGGTATTTAAAAATTATGTAGAACAGGAGGTGTTGCAGCAAATGTTAAATACTTAGCTTTCAAAAAAAGGAAAGAAAATGGAATCTGTATTCCAGCGTAGTGAACCTAACTGCATTTTCTGGCAAAATGGTTAATGAACATCTAGAAAAGGAAGTAGTAATTAAAAACAGGCAGCATGGCTTAATTCAAGAACAAGTCATGCCAGCATAACCTTGTTTCCTTTTTTGACAGGGAGTCCTGCCCTATAAGTTCAGGGAAGTGCTACAGATTTAATTTATGTAGTTTGCCTCCATTGATTAAAGTCTCATGCTATTCTTATGGAAAAAATTGTAGAGATGTAAATTTGTTTTTCATCTGTGTCCAACTCTTCACGACCCCATGGTCCTTCCGACCTGAGGGGCTCGTCTTCCAAGCATTTTAATATTGTTTGTAGGGTTTTCTAGGCAAAAATACTGGAGTGGTTTGCCATTTCCTTCTCTACTTAATGTAAACTAGATGATAACAAATTTAGAGTAGTGATTCTTAACCTATGATCTAGAAATTTGTTTTAAAAATATTTGGTAACTGTGTTTCCATATAATTGATTTCATTTGTAGTCCCATACATTTTATTTCATTCGTTTAAAAGCATTTTGAGAAAGGGTCGATAGCTTCACTAAACTGTCAAATGTGGTGGTTTGGTGGGGGAGGGGAAGTATGGTAATGGTGGTAGGTGGTCTATGGCATAAAAAAAATTAAGAACCCCTATTAAGAGGGATTTGGAATCGATTGAATAGCTAGACGGTAATAGTAGCCAATTAATAATTTAATGTCAGCTTAGAAGGGAGATCTCCAGTGGGGTGCCCCAGGGTTGCTCTGTAGCTGTTTAACATTTTATTGTGTTTGGATGCAAGCATAAATGTCATACTCTTTGTAGTTGCAGATGACACAAATTGAGGACAGATAGTTAAGGCATTGAATGACAGTCAGAATCTAAAAAGATCTTGATAGACTAGAATATTTGGCTGAATCTAATAAAATTTGGGGAAAACTTAAATATTTATACTTATGAATTTGATTTTTCCAACCGAAGTAGAAGATGGAGGAAGCATGGGTTAGATGGCAGTTCATCTCAGGGGGGAAAAATCTGAGTTTTTAGCCTCTAAGCTCAGTATGAGTCAGCATTGTAACATTAATGTAAACTTGGCCGGCATTAAGAGCCTCTGAAGACTGTACTTCCTCCAGTGATGCAGATCATAACTCATCTGTGCCCTTTGAACTTAGGAGACTCCTGTCCTGCCTTATAAATTTTTTGAAAGAGGTATACCCAGAATGCTGAAGTGGAGGGGCAGATATATTATATAGATACCAGTAGCGCACAAGGGTTTGTTTATTCCCTATTCTGCCAAATGACTGGCCTACCTTTTCTTTCCCTTCATGGTCCATAATATAAAATTGTATCTTTAGTGTTTTTTTTAATTGGAATAGTTTCATTTTTCAGTACTTAATTACAAAAACAAATGAGAAGCCTGTTTCATGTTTCTCCTAAGGTAATTTTTAAGTTATTAATTCAGTTTTCTTTTTACATGTAGCTATCACTTGCTCCTGATGCTCTTTGGTTAGTGCCCCTTAAATAGAAAGCTTTCCATTGCTTCATTAAAAAGAATGCTGCTTTGCTATCTTTCAAATGCTCTCTTGGCTTTAGAAAAGGCCCTGAATTTGGGCCCAGGAGACGAGCTAAATCTGGCTCTTGCCGTCGACCTTTCTTTGTGACTTTTCTGACCCTGATTTCTTCATTTATACAATAAGGGAGATGAAGATTATCTTTTACAGTTCTAAAATGTTGTGACTCGAAGTAGAATTGTTTTAACATGACATATAAATTGAGTATTTGGGAATGTGAGGAAAATTGTTTAGGGATTGTGAAGTATGTGATTTAGTTAGTAATGTCAGTCAGGCCTATAAAATTGTACTACAAATCTCAGTTTTATGTACATATATAAATATGTTTTCAGAAGTTTTAGAACTTTTCCATTTTGCTTTGTATCCTTAGTAATTGTATTTTACTGCTTCTGAAGATCTCTGACTTTATCTGACATAGATCGTAGTTGCTCTGCATCTTACTGTTTGTAGATAACGGTAGATGACTTTCTGAGTCATCTAGTGATGGGCTATAAAAAAGTTTCACTTGATCATTCTGCAAACATTTATTATGTACCAGGCATTGTTGTGCTAGCCATCGGACATCCAAAGACTAAACTAAAACAACAAAACCAGCCTTCTGGTAATAAGTTTTCTTGAACATAGCAAAGCTAGAACATTATTCTGATGTTTCATCACGTGATAGATTTGACCCAACCAGATGCTGTAAGGGAATTCCATTGGAGCACACACTCTGTCAAAAATCCTACCAAACTTGAGCCTTTGCATTTGTATTGGGTGCTGGACTTAACAAATTAAGTTTGAAGCCACCTAAGTTTGAAGTGGTTCTGTGAGCAAAATACTACAGTTTTAATTACAAATTAGATTAATTATAGATTAATTAAAAATATTAGGACTGCTACCTAAATTTTGTTGCTTGTTGCAAGCTACATTTTTCATATGCAACAATTTTACTTAGAATTTTACAAGAATATCTTGTTAGGTTTGGTACTAGTGATTATGAATCTGATTTGAAGCAATAGGAAAAATAAAACCTTCATTTAAAGTAAAATTGAGCATTTTTGTTTCCCTGATGAAATGTCCAAGTATGATTGTAAGTGACACAGTTTTTACCTAAGTACATGTTATTAAGATATTTCTCATCTATTAAGGTTCAAACTGTCTCCTGGGATGAATATATCTTAAAGCTGACATAACTTTGTTCAGTCCCCAGTCTTCCTTGTTTTTAGGTCAAGCAACTTCAGAAACAATGCACAGGGATCACTTTTATTTTTAATTTTGACAACTTTTATTTTTGCATGAGCTTTGTTTTCAAGTCTCCCCCTCTATTTATTAAGCAGTCCCTTGTCAAAAAGAATTTTTAAAAAGTTTACAAGTAGCCCACAAATCGGCAGAGTCTGACTGTAAATGCAGTGTTTCATACTTGTAGATCTCCAGCTCTGCAAAGAAATGAAGGGAGGTGCATTTTCATATCTCTTGTTTGGGGTCAGGCTTGGTCATTATATTTAGAGAGTTCAGGTTTTGTTCCTAACATTTAATTTCTGCAGTAATTGCTTATGTTGTGTTCCTGATTATGCTTTATCCAATTCATAAGTCTTCCCGTGTGCTTATGAATTATTTATATTCCTATGATGTGGTAATACTCTATTTTCATGTATTCCTATTCGTCTAGCTATTCTGATGATCACTTACTTTGTTTCCAGTTTTTTGCTGCCGCAAAATTTGCTGCTCTGACTGTGACTATTTTGGGTAAATGGGGCCTTTTCTTTTTGTCTTTGACCTCCAAAAAAACACTTTGAAAGATAATTTTTTGTTTTTACAGGTATGTAGGCAACCTTTCCCGAGATGTGACAGAAGCCCTAATTCTCCAGTTGTTCAGCCAGATTGGACCATGCAAAAACTGCAAGATGATTATGGATGTAAGGGTATTTTACTTAGTTCTTCTTTTTTAACTAATAATTCCAGAAATTAATAATTCAGGGTTTGTCAATTATTAATGAAGTTTAGTGGGAGGGAGGTATGTGCGTAAATATACACACATGTACACATATATATAAATTGAATGGTTGAAGTTAGTCACTGAGCTACACTTCATCTTCAAAAAAATCTTTTGTCTTACAAAAAAGTTTTTGAGGGAAGTTTTCTATTTTTCACAGAAACAATACTGTAAGAGAAGTTTTGAGGCATAAGGCATAAGCTTCTTGGTTATATTTGAAGTACCTTTAAATTAATATAGGGAATCTTGAAATTAAGTGTTAGTAAATTGAAAATTGAAATTAAAATATAATAAATAAAAGCCCTTCAGTATATTTTTTGAGCTTTTATTGAGGGCTTTTGTTTTCCTGGAGCCATTCCTGGATAGATCTCCCCTACTTACATTTTGAGATCTCTTGTAACAAGGACAAGCAGTTAAGCACAACACACGACCACATCTGAAAGTATATGAAACATTTTACGTATGCAGTCCCCACCTCTGGGGATAATGTATCTAGTTGGTGGTAGAGAGGCTTTTAAAAATGCACATTGAAAAATTCATAACGTGAAAAAAAACTTCCGTAGAGATTCTTTTTCTTATAGTTAAATTTTCTTTTCCCCTTCTTGAAGCTGTCTTAAAAGTCTCTTATTTCTCTTTCTTTCAAGATAACACCCTGAGAATTTAGTGTAATGGGTACTTACTTGACTTGTTTCCTTCTGTCCCTCTCTATATCTGCTCTTCCCCCTAACCTTTCTCCTGTATTTGTTGCTTTTTAAAAATTAACTTTGGACTCCCAAACACTTTGTTATATATATTTTAAATTTCAAAACATTAGTTCCCTATATCTGTTTTAGTGCCTCTATTACCCATGTTTGTATACTCTAATCAGGCTTAAAAGATTGTTCTGTTCTACCACATATCTGTGGATTGGGGGCAGTGGGTTGGGGTGGGAATCAAAGAATGGTAAAATTAAAAGGGAGATTAAAAAATATTTTTTCCCTACTTTTTTCTTTCTTCCCTCATTCTTCCCATTCCAGATTTTTGCCTTGACCTTAGGTGAACAAGAATTTTAGGCTTTACATGTGGAATGGAAAAGGAAAGATTGCCCTTGATAAGCCCACGTGAATACAGGGTTGTTGTCTTTTGCTGGACTAATCTTTGAAGATTTTTATAAGTCATGTCTCCCCCTTCCTCTTCCCCTTCCCCCAACCCTAACCCCCAAAGCATGAATTCTCTGAGCATTTCTTGGGAGCAAAGGATTATATGAACATCCTTTCTTTGCTCTAATTTCCAGGTAGACTGCTCAAATGCCTTCTTGTGGTCCAGGCTTAGTAAGTCATATGAGCATTCATTTTCATTTGTATATTCTACTTGTAAGATAACTAGGTACTTTCTGATTTTCCATTTTATTATATAATGTTGCATTTTTTACCTTTATTGTACTACCTTGTATCATTCTGCTCCCTAACAACACAGGTAGAGTTTTTTTTAAAAAAGATATGTTTTATTGGTGCCTTTTGTTTTTACACTACAGAGTTATTTCCAGATAGCCTCCTTATACCACATGAAACCTCATTTGTAATAACAAATAAAAGAAAAAAGGAATTGACACAATTGACATATTTAGTATTTCTTTACATGTCTACTGAAAGGAAAGAGATGCCTCCTCATCTCTTGTCCTTGACCAAGATTGGTCATTATTATTACTTAGTGTTCAACTTCATTTCAGTATTCTTTTCATTAGTATTGTAATCACTGTGCATATTAGTCTTTAGATCCTGTTTAGGATTATATATTTTGAGTTGGAAGAGACCTCTGGAGGTATTTAGTTCAATCCCTCCCACATCCTTCACCACTTTTGTTTTTAAACAGATGAGACCTGAGAGGTTAAGTGACTTGCTTAGGGTCACACAGATAGTAAGGTACCAGAACCTGGACTTGAACTTAGGTTCTTTCAAGTTCAGTGCTCTTTCTACTACCATTTGCAGCTTTTGCCCTTAGTTTAATCAAATAGGTATTATCCATATTTCTCATATTCAGTGTTCCTTATGGTTTAGTTATATTACATATATGACAGTTTGTTCAGTCATCTCTAATTGATGAGGTCCCACTTTTTGCTTTCAGTTTTTTGCTACCACAAAAATGTGCTGAATATTTTGATCTGTAGTCTCTCTTTTTTTCTCTTTGGGATATATACTCAGTATTAGGATCTCTGGGTCCAAGCATATGAATAGTTTAGTGACTTTTATTATATAATTCCAAACTGTATTTGAGAATGGTTGGACTAGTTTATAGCTCCACCAACAGTGTATTAGTGTGCCTATGTTTCCATATTCCTATATCATTAACTGCTTCTGAATTTTCCTGGAATGGGGTGTCAAATATGAACCCTCATTTTTTTATTGTACATTTCTTACTATTTATTAATTTGGAACTGTTTCATAAGGTAGTTGTAGTTTGCACGTTTTTTTTTTTAACAGTTCTTGTTCCTATCCTTTGATCTCTTATTGGTGAAATACTGGTAGAATTTCTACAAATATAACTTTTAAATTATGCAATATTAAAGATGTTTGTTCTTTGCTTTTTTTTATGAAATAAAACTATTAGCTCTTTCATCATGTCCCCTTTTGTACCAAAATTAGGTTTCCTTAGTGAAGTCTGTTCTCAGACCTCTTCATTTCTTTTGATTATTTCCTTTTCTTGTCTGTAGTGCTGATTGATGTGCCTGAGTTTATTTGGATATCTATATAGCATTCATTGTTCTACTTTAAATGCTTTAAATCCTTTTAATTTGGGGGGCATTAGAGTTAGGAGATGGTTTTAATTTTTTAAAGAGATTATAGAAAGAGAAATCCCATGGATTACAAGGCCAATTTGTGTATTGCAGTGCATACAGATAAAACATTAGGGGTGTTGTTCGTTTTTTATTTGAAATAACACCTCTTTCATTTATTGATTAATGACCAAGAAACTTCAGCTGTTCAGGATATAGACATCTATGAGGACGAAACCAGTAAAATCCTCTGTCAGCCAGAGTAGATGTTAGAAAGCCCATTTTATTTATGGGAAACTCCTTCCTTCTGATTAGCTTGGTAATCTGGTTTCTTAGTTTATGATCAGTTAGAAACTTGAGGTTTGGGAGACTCTTTGCTAAAGGTTTATCTGCTTCTGTATGTGACAGCTAGAGGACAAAAGCATAAAAAACCTTCAAAAAGAAAGGAATATCTGCATACATAACTCAGTAGGTTACCAAGAAAAAGATTAAGTTGTATTTAGTATGTTCTGTCTTAAAGCAGCATGGTTTTAGAAAGGTTTCCATATGAAACAAATGTCAAAATTTTTAAAAATTTACTTAGTGATAGTAAATAAATGCAGTTTTCCTATATACAGCTTTTTTATATAGTAAATATTTTTAAAGCAGGTTTAAGGAAATGGGTAACATGGAGCTTTAAGAAATTGTTTTTTTCTGTGTTTTCTTCAACAGACAGCGGGAAATGATCCTTACTGTTTTGTGGAGTTCTATGAGCACCGTCATGCAGCTGCAGCACTAGCTGCTATGAATGGACGGAAGATAATGGGTAAGGTAAGCTGTCATGACTGAAGGGTGGAGTGGAAATTCAAAAGTTGTTATACAGTATTAAGTGGATGAGATACTTCTAAACTAGCAAAAAAAGGGTCAACTGAACTACAAAAGGTAAATTATATTATTCCTTTTAGTTTTTAATATTTAGGGAAGGGGTGGGATAAAGCTACATATATTGTAGCCTACCTTGAAGAAAAGAATAATATCTTATTCATCTTTGCATCCCCCATTGTGCCTCTTTGCACTTAGTAGATTCTTAGTTATTGTTTGTTGAATGAAGGAATTTTAATTAGGTATGGATGAAACCTTATAGGAGAATTGGGTACTAAGGGGAGGTTGGAAGCAAGAAGAAAAATGTCTCGTCAGCTAATACGTAAGGTAAGATTAATCCAGTAATGTGAACAGAGAACAGGATGTAGGAAAGGTATTTCTATTACCTTTTGTTTCTGTATTATAGATTAAAACAAAAGGATTAAATATGTCGACTGTAATCTAGTTAGTATGCCTTTTGTGTTCATAGACTTGTGCAATTTCCTTTTTTATGCACATGATAAACTAAGTTTTGAAACTATCTAGATTAAAATTTATTTCGACAATAACTGTTGAAAATATTTTTTGTAGGAAGTCAAAGTGAATTGGGCAACAACCCCCAGCAGTCAGAAGAAAGATACAAGCAGTAAGTGTATTTTATACTCTTTGATGAATTATTTTTATTGTACACATAGTTTTATTATAAAGCATATAAGCATCATACATGTTTGCAGTAATGTTTTGATCTTTATCCTAAGATATGATTTAATATGTTTGTGTTAATAAATTTAAGAACAAATCTAATCTTTGTCATCAGGTAGTACCGTTGTCAGCACACTGCGTTCACAAGGTAATTGTATCTTCTTAAACATAAAATGAAATATCTCTGAAGGGTATTCACTAACCACCTGAAGTTTTTTTGTTTTTTGGTTTTTTATGGGGAGGGAGGGAAGGGCTGTATTTGGATTGTCTTTGGCAGTATTTCCCCTTTCTTCCCAGCATTGACAGAATGTGACCTGTAGTACTATAGTAGACTGTTTTAGTCTGGTGCTATTTCAGGTACTCTGAATCCCCTAGGGTAGTAGCTGATGCTTTAGAAGTTCTTTATCCAGCTAAAGAAGGGACAAGATAACTTTACTTCCTTGAGGTCATCCTTGATGTGTGCTACTCTTTACCCAGATCTTCCGAGTGCTTGAGTTGCTTCTAAAAAGGGTTTCCCAACTGGCAACCCACATGTGTTGCTTAAGGCCAGCCAGATGGGGATAGCTTAAAAAAATAGTTGATTTAAACTTATAACTTATGTGTCCATTTCTAGAGTGTTGATCAAACTCTTCTGCACGTATTAAGTGTTGTGTATTTTTTTAATAAGAATGTATTTATAATTAAACTATCTTCAGCTGTGGGAATCTTTATTTCTCTCCAGTGTACTCTTTAATGACTCTGACATAAAGTTGAAGGGATTACTGTTTTCATTCTGTTGCCTTCAGTCTTAGTTCACTTGCACATGGATTCACATAAACTGAATGGTGTAATGGCTGGGCAACCAAAACTGTTGGCTTTTGAGAAAACTGTCAAATACTTTAACAGCAAACTGTTGCAATGCAAGGTATTTCTTTGATTGTTCTTCACAAACTGTGGTTAAACCAAGTGTTATTATGTAGCTAGGTTTTGGTATCTTGTCTTAACTGAAACATTATTTTCCATTTTTTATGATACCACTATTCTCTTAATTTTTAAAGCATTATATAGTGGTTAACTGAATAAATGTGAATAATTAACAGTACTATGATAACTGTCATTCGATGTCTTTTTTGCAGAATTTAAATGAACTCATTATATAGTATTTTGTATTCTAGAATAGTGACTGGATATGACTATAACTAAAAATAAGTTCAACTTATATTATAACAACTTTTAAAAAACAGATCCTTGCTATAGTGTCAATGAGCAATTATTTTAAGATTATGATAGGATTTGTATGCTTAGATGTAGAGCTGTGTTTTATTTGTAATTGACTGGAAATTATTTCATATCAGCAATATATTAAATTTGCTTTAAAATCTATTTTTCAAACTTTAAAATTTTATTTTTCTTTTTACCCCACCCCTTTTCCTTCCCCCTTAAAAGATCATTTCCATGTCTTTGTTGGTGATCTCAGTCCAGAAATTACAACTGAAGATATAAAAGCGGCTTTTGCACCATTTGGAAGAATATCGTAAGTAACAGATGGCAACTTAAATTTCTTTTACTTAGACACAAGCTTACATAACAACAAATTGAAAATGATCCTTGAATTTTAGACTTAAATTACAACTAATCAGTGTAAAAATATTAATATACATCTAGTAGCAGTGTGCCTTCTTTAAGATATTTATAATATATAAATCTTTGGTTTTCAGTTATTTATAAATTCTTAAGTAGCATTTTTTTTTAAAGAAACTTGTTGGCCATATTATATTTCACTTTTTAACTGTCTTAAGAGATTAGGTATCTTGTTTGGTATCTGTGTTAATTTTGTATAGACCAGGTGGAGGCTTTTATTTTGGCATGCATTTTGTGTGAAATATTCATAGAAGCAATAAGTGAGCACATTTAGGAAAAAAGAATTGTTTAGTTACAAAACCAAGCTATTTTTACTTTTACACAAGTATATTAGTATTTCATGAAACTTCCAAATGCTTACATTTTGTTATTGATCATAAATTTAAACCTTCGTAAAGACAGTTAATCTAGGTAGCAGTCAAGAAAGTACTTCAGTGTTTTGTAAAGTATTTTATTCTAGTGCATTCTCATAGTTTGTGAGGTTTATCAAAATGGTAATTTATTAAGAATTTTTTTTCCATTTGTTTTGTCATTGTTCCATTCAGTCTTTATATTTGGCTAAAAGTTTTTAAAGGAACTATGTTCTAAGTATGATTTTTCTTGATGGAAAAATAATACTCTAGTGATGAGAAATTGAAGATTATTGGAAGTAATTGGTCCTTTAGTGCAAGAGTCAACAAATCTGGCCCACTGCATATTTTTGAGCTTTCCCACAGCTCATGAACCATTCTGTTTTTTACTACGTTTGAGGGAGTGAGAAGCTAGGTTAAAAAGGCAGGCAAGAGATTAAAAGTAAATGCTGAAAAACTTAGAGGTGAAATAAGGATTTTAGTAATTGTAGCATATTTTTTAATTGCCTTAAAATCACATATCTAAAAATTTCCTTTTAAAAGCTAATTTCCTATTGCCAAGTTTGTTCTTTGATTATTTGAGAACTGGTTAGGAAATAAGGTCGAGTTTGAATTCCTTTTGCTTCTCTCAATCTGTTTTAGGGTTGGAAAAACAGTAGGGCCAACTATGTTTTGCAATCAGTCTTTACTTTTGTTCCTTCTAATGATTTACTTTGCATATTTCTCTACTCATTTGTCCCTTACATCACAGATATGAATAAGGTGAATGAAAGGAATCTTAAATTATTTTGTTTCATTCCTTTTACTTACTCAGATAAAAGTCTTAAGTAGAGGCAGAAGTTAACTTATTTTGTTGTTAGTGTTCCAATTTTTATACCTTATAACAAATTATCAGGAGTTAGCTATATTTTAGGGCACAGGAAATAAAATTTTTTTCTCAACTTATTTAAAACATCCAACTTCGTTAGCACATAAAGTAGTTAATATTAAGCAAGCTTTTCATTGATTTCTTTATTGGAAATTCTCATTTTTGTGTGTGTTTTTTAAAAAAAATTTAAAAAATTTAAAATTAAAAAATTTTAGCCATGATTTTTCTTAAATTAAAATTTACATAAAAATAATAAAGTGAATCGGACAGCTTTTTTTTTACACTGTGCAGTGTACAGATTTGCTAAATTTAGAAAACATTTTTCAGACAGTTGGTAGCATATTGCCTACTCTCCTACCCCTTTTGCTGAAAATAAAAATGTTCCTCTTTTTCTTTTGTCATATTCATTCCTTTTTGAGTGTAGGAATAGTTTTAAATTAGAAAATCAGATAAAGTATAACTTTGGTATAGTATTTAGTCAAACTACAAAATTGAGTGCATGTGCACAGAAATGTAAAATTAAATGGATTTTTAAATACCAGAAAGTGACTGACAATAGTTTTCCCTTTTGATCACCTTTTTGTCAGTTCATTGGCTCTAAAAATGGCACACATTTTAATTGGAGTGATATATAGTAGATCTTTTAATGTAATATAGTACATGTCTGGCTTTCTGATACGTGTTTTTGTGGTGAGAATAGCCTCTTCTGGTGGTGTGTCACCAGAGAAGAAGCACTGTAGCATACCTGGCTAACTTAAAACAGATTGCTTGAGAAGTACATTCATTCCAGTTTTTTGAGGTATGGAGTTTTAGCTATCATAGCTGGAATTTTACTCAATCTCAAATAATAGGGCTCTGGTTATTTTGCAGAGTATCTCTGAAGAATGTGGACAGAATTGCCCTGGCTAACTACAAGCTACGGTTCACAGTGGATAAATGTTGGAGTTCTTATTTATTTTCTGAATTTTATAAAATTTGCTTTTATGTCTTGTAGTTTCCAATCAATCCTGTATGATTACTGTTTTAAAATGCAGTTTAAAATCTTAGTATAAAATTTTAGTGTGTAATTGAAACTGAAGTGTTTTTAGTGTTTATTTTTCTTCAATAATGCAACCATTTCTGAAAATGTCAATTTCTCAAAATTTACAGCTGCCCACAGTCCAAAAAGGGGGTAACGAATTGACCTGAGAAAATTGAATTCAGTTAACAGGCGACGTATGCCTTTTTAATTCCTATTTTTTCCATTTTTTCTATTTTAACTTTTTTTTACTGAGTAGGTAGATTGTGTTGGTAAATAGCAAGTTATAAATTTGCATGGTTAAAGAGAGCCATTCATCTGATGTGCTAGTGAGCTATAAGTGGCTTATTTAATGTGAATAGCTGCTTTGACCATGCCTAGTGCTTAACATAATGTAAAAAGCATTTTGAACTACTGGGAATCAACTTCTGTAAAATATTTGCATATATTTGAGAAGTTAATGATTTGCATGTTTATACAGTTTGTTTAATTTACTGCTACATGAGAAAACATTAAATTTTATAGTAGAAAAAGCAAAACTTGCTTTGACTATTTTGCTGGTGTGTTAAAAGGGTCACTTTAATGATGAAACATGAAAATAAATTGTGCGTGAAACTCACACTTTTCTTTCTGTAAGAAAAATTTGATTTGCAAAGCTGAATTTCTGATTGCTTCTGATTTTAGAGATGCTCGAGTTGTGAAAGACATGGCAACAGGAAAGTCAAAAGGATATGGCTTCGTTTCCTTCTTCAACAAATGGGTAAGTTCTGATCAAGCTCAGAGTCAGTCTGACAGTTCATAGCCTTAAAAGTTAAGAAGGCCTTGCTTGGTTCAAGTTCTGCTTCTGACATATGTTGACTACATAGGGGCAAGACTCTTTGTGCTCCCAAGTATATATCATGTAAGGGTGTAAAAGTTGTCTAGTACCTGTCCCTCATTTTTTCCCTTTTACCTTATGATCATTTTCAGCAATTAGCATTTCACCATAAGGTAGAGTGCCTTTACATCTTGTTTTTATCATTCATTTATCAAGAAGTATATATTGAATGCCTACTATGTACAAGGCGCCCAAAAAAAAAAGATTTGTGAGGAGACCTCAGGTAATGAAATTATTGTCTCAGATAAAGTTTATTTTTTCTTGTGGCTTTAATTTGTTCATTCTTATACTTGATTACCACAAGTTGATGAAAAAAACTACTAGTAAATTTTGGCTCAAAATAGTTGTATTTGACAACTTTATATCATTCATTCCAGCTAACACATTATACTAGAATTACTATATAGTTTGTTATCCTTTCATAGCCTTGTTTTTTCTATTTGTTTTCCCAGTAATTTTTGTTTTAGGAAATATCTTGAGATTTGGGAGTTCAGAGAAGAAAAAGTGTTAATTCTGCTGATACTCCATGTGGATAAGAACATTCATTTAGGAAATTAAGTCATTTCCTCGTAATGACTCCTTAAGATCAAATCTTCGTTATGTTGTTCTGGGATTTTGTTGCATTCATAAAAGGTTGCCCTAAGTGTCTCAACAGCCCTGTGAAGTAGCTAGAGCAAATGTTCTTATCCTCATTTTATAGCAAAGAAAATTTGAGACTCAAGGAAGTCAAGTATGTTTTTAGTCACACAGCTAATAAGTTTTAAGAGCTAAATTCAAACTCAGGTTGCCTGATTTGAGTGCTTTTTCCATTATACCCTGTTACTTATAAGTAAATGTCTTATTTCTGTTTCTTTGTCATGGAATACTTTTTACTTTGATTATTTTTAGTGGAAAGTTTTTTTTAAGTTACTGGATATTCCTTTGTTTTTTATACTAAACAAGTTAAACCGATGTAATATCATGATGAAGATAATGACACCCTCAATGGCTGTTGATGTTTTGGGCTGTATGCTGCTAGACCAGACTCTCTAGTTCTTGTGTATGATTAGTTGTGTCTTCTGCCTCATTGTCATATCTTGCCACTTACGCAAGAGGCTGTCTGTTAGGGAATATAATAGTTAATGATAACCTTTTATTATGTTCTAAGTGAGGAACTGGGACTTTTCTAGTGCATGGAGTTCCAGAGAGCTCTAACAGGAATCTTTTCACTTCAGGTTCTAGGCTAGACTTCTATCCTGTGTTTGTGGTTGCCAAAAATATGACTTATACTTGCCCTAAGGAACTTCTGAGGATTGTTAGAAAAGTGCTTTGTAAAATGTAGAGTACCATGTATGTGTGAGCTTTTATTATTATTAAGGCTTTATTGAAAGCATCTCTATTCAAAGGTCCTATGTGAATTAGCTCTGTAGTTTCATTTTTATTTTCCTTTGAATATTTCTTGCAGTAATTTTTCTTTGTAATTCTGTCCATTTTGGGTAGGCATGGTTATGCAGACCAATTGACTTAACATCAACTGAAACATTTTTGTCTTTTATGTTTGTTATGGTGAATAGGATGCAGAAAATGCCATACAGCAGATGGGTGGACAGTGGCTTGGAGGAAGACAAATCAGAACTAACTGGGCAACACGAAAACCTCCAGCTCCAAAGAGTACATATGAATGTAAGGGTGTTGAAAAAGAAAAAGAAATGTAGATTGGAGTGGGGGGAAGGGGGAGAAAAACATAGTAGGTTTTAAATGTCATAACTGCTCTTGAAGACTTGCTGCCGAACTAGAAAAGCAAATCAAGACCAGTTTTTAAAAAGTTCTTTTTTATTTATGGTATTTTTATACATATAACAATAATGTGATATTCCTAATTTTTGCTTAAAAGTGGAGGGGAAATACTGAATAAATACTGAATACTTTTATAAGAATTTTGTGATTGACAGGAGTGTAGATTAGTGAAAGTAGAATTAATGTAATGCATGAATATGAATTGATAGTTAAAAATAAAAATTTTTTTCTTAGTGTTTCACAGTAATATTTATGAAATTTAATATCAGAACTTTCTTTTCCTTTCCTTCCCCCATTCTTCCCTCCCCTAGCAAATACCAAACAACTGTCTTATGATGATGTGGTAAATCAATCCAGCCCAAGCAATTGCACTGTGTATTGTGGAGGTGTTACTTCAGGCCTGACAGGTATATTATCTAACATGTCTCAGATTGATATTTTATGATTCGTTTTGAAACCCAAAGAGGAAAAGTGTAGGATCTTTATAAACTAGATCTCATTTTTGAATTACAGAACAATTAATGCGCCAGACTTTTTCACCATTTGGACAGATAATGGAAATTCGAGTCTTCCCAGACAAAGGATACTCATTTGTACGGTATGTTTTTGTGGGTTTAAAAAAAATTTTTTTTACATTTTCAAATAGGTTTTCTGTGAATTTCAAGATAGCTTCAATATTAAGAAAGCACTTTCTCTAGTCATCCAGGGAAGCTAACCTTTTAGTTGTCCTCTGAAGAACTTAAGATCATTTAGCCTATGCTCTTTCATCTGTAGAAATAATTTTAAAACTTTTTAAATCAAAGAAAGAACCTAAGCCAGGGATGTTGATAGATAAGATTATGTCGTAGTTCATAGAATTTTAGAGCTAAAAGGACCTAGAAGTAAGTCATTTTCCAGATGATAGTAGTGGTCCAGAGGAGTAAAATGACTTGTTCGTTGTTATGCCTCACTAGGAATTTTTTAACCTCAGGTCTAATGACACTAAAGTCTAATCTTCTCTTTACTATAACCAAAGTGTCTTCTGTTCCTGTACAGCAGGGATCCTGTATGAAAAACATTACCCAATAAAGTAAAACTTTTTGAAAAAAGAAAATTTCTTTTTTGAGAGAAGAACTAAGGAATCTTATGTTATTCCTAAAACTCAGGAGTAGGGGTTTGGAAGGTATATATAATTGGTACAAATGGTAGTACCTGAAACCAATATTGGGAAAGATGTTTGGGCATGTAGTATGTAGCAAGATAATTTTATCCCTTGATAAAGATATACTGAGCCGAGAGAGCTATTTGTAAGTAACACTGATAGAAATCAGGTACTATATAAAATTCCTTTTGGAAATGAGATTTTACCTCAAATTTTTTTTATTCATTTTATTTGCTTGATGGAAAAGTAATTTTGCTTTCTGTGTAATATAACAAAATTGATTCACAAATGGACTAAAAATTTGGCTTCATATAGACAGTTTCACATCATTATGCACAAATTATTCTTATAGTTGACTAAAGGGGGTGAAAAGGGAAGTGTCAACATCAAGAAGGTTGTACTTGTGTGGATTTGCCAGTGGAGTTCAATATGTATCTATTTAATGGCCTCTTCTCAGTCCTCATCCTTCTTGACATTTCTGAAATCTTTGACATTGTTGATGCACTCTGCCTCCTAGATAGTCTTGCTGGGTTTTTATGATACTGCTTTCTCTTGTTTCTCTTCCTGTCCTTCTGATTGCTTTTTTTTCCCCGATCTCCTTTGCTTGCTAAATATTCACACCATGCTCACTAACTGATAGCGTGCCCTCTAAAGCTCTGTCCTTGGACCATATTCCTCTCTATTCTTTCTCCCTAGGTGACCTTATCAGTTCTTATGGGTTCACTTATCTCTATTTAAATGGCTCTTACATCTGTATTCAAGCCTTACATCTCTGTTCCAAGCTCCAGTCTCGTAGCTGCCTGTTGGACTGTCCCAAACTAGATATCCTGTCAGTATCTTAAACTCAACGTGTTCAGAAGAGAACTCAATTATCCATTATCCTTCTCTTTTCCTCTCCCACCCCCAACTTTCTTTGAGGGCCCTACCATCCCTCTGGTCACCTCTTTTGCGATCTTAGTAATTTTCAGCTTCTCTCTCTATCATATATAGCCACTCAGTTTCCAAATCTTGTTGCTTCTGTCTTCACAGTGTATTTTATATCAGTCCCTTTCACTTTAATCCATATTCCACACAGCTTATAAAGTACTTTGACTAAAGTACAAACTTGGCTACGTTATCTCCACTACTCAATAACTAATGACACCCTCTAGAATCACATAGAAGCTGCTCTTTTTTGGCATTTTAAGCTCATCCTAACCTGGCCCCGTCCTGTATTTCCAGGGGTCTTACAAGTTATTTCTCTGCTGTCTAGCCATCTTCCTCATACAAAGTTTTATCTTTCTGCCACTCTCCTGGCTCCTCTACTCTGGACTGCCCGCTCTCTCTTTGCCCCTTCTTCTTAGAATCCTGAACTTTTTAGGTCTTTTTCCAGTCCCCTCAGCTGCTAATGTATTCCCCTTTAAGATTAGCTTGGAACTAATTTGTATAGGTCTTATATATCTTGATGTATGTACATCTCTTCCCTGTTAGAGTGTAAGTTTTTTGAGGACAGACTTTTTTTTTTGTTTCCAAGATTGGAGCCTTGGTACATATCTTGAATGATAATAGAGAAAAAGGAGAATGAAGTGATAAAAGAGGAAATGGCTGCTGGCTGACCTAGTAAAAAAAATGATCAGCACTTGGACTTAAAATTACGTGGCTTCTGCTTGCTACTAGCTTTTAATCTTGCTACTTTGGGATTAATTGCTTATTTTTCTGTAGAGTATCCAGTTAATAAAGGATAGCTGTTTCTTGTACTCTAAGTGTTTTCACCTCCTTTTATATGGGACATATGTATTTGGAGCAAAGTTAATATGAAGCGCTTCAGACAGTTTTTATATATGCTTTTTCAACATCTATTGTATTTTTCAGAAAAACTTTTAGGAAATTGTGGCTGTTTCTAGGCTATTACTATGGTTTGGAAATGAATTGCAGTAGAGATGTTTTAAATTAGTTTTTTATCTTGGGTTGGGAACACTTGCTGAGAATAGTGTTCTATCTCATTAGTTCAGAAATAACTTACCATGTTGTTTTTAATTGTAAGGTTATGATCGTGAGGTTAAAATCAGTAAAAAACAGTGTGAAAAGTTCTTTTGATTAGAGGTGGTAAGGGAGAGCAAGTCATAATCTCTGGGCTTCCGTTTCATCATCATTAAGATTGCTTTTAACACAATTATACTATGATTTCAGCCCATTCTATTTCAGAGGCTTGGGTGTGTTTGACTGCTTTTTTTGGTTTAAAAACATATTTGGGAATTGTAGCAGTGTTCATCATATTTGCCGCTGTTAGACAATTCTCCATGCTTACGTCTTCCTGTTTCCCATTCACAAAGGCCAAAGGAGCACAGCCTTTTTGATAAGTGAAAATCACTCTATAGACTAGATGGTCTCTAAAGTCCCTTCCAATTCTGAATCCTATGGTTGTAAATATAAGGTCACTTTGTTGTTGGGTTTTTTTGTGTTTTGTTTTTTTTTAATTTTTGTTTGTTTTTGCTAGGCAATGGGGTTAAGTGACTTGTCCAGGGTCACACAGTAAGTGTGAAGTGTCTAAGGCTAGATTTGAACTCAGTTTCTCCTGACTTCAGGGCCAGTGCTCTATCCATTGCGCCACCTAGCTGCCCCGAGATCACTTTAAAGAATCAATAAAGAAACCTTTTTTGGAAGTGGGGAAGATTGGCTGGCTGAATTATTTTTTAGATTTTCTTTGTGATTAAGAGAATACATAATTGGTTATTTTAAATATTGTATTTAATAGGTTCAATTCCCATGAGAGTGCTGCACATGCAATTGTTTCAGTTAATGGTACTACAATTGAAGGACATGTTGTGAAATGCTATTGGGGCAAAGAAACTCTTGATATGCTAAATCCAGTTCAACAGGTAAGAGAGTTCTTGATATTGGTATTTAATTTCTGGGCTCATAAGGGTTACTTTAGAATAAATATTTGTTATTAAATCCTTGTTAATAGGCTTCTAGCTAAAATTATAGTGTATAAGGGCTGTTCCTACATGTATTATAGTTCCAGAGTGGTGTTTCATGGATTGCAGTGGTGACATGGTGAATGTGACCTCCTCAATTGACTCATGCTCACACAGTGGATTTAAAAATGCTCCGACAAACATAACAGGGTATTAAATCTTTTTTTAATACTTGATAGATTTATTCACATACTGTGCAGATAACTCACAAGCATGCTTGGGTCAATTTAAAAAAAATTGTTAATATATATTTATTAGGGCCTTAAAGTTGTCCTCCAGATTGCTGTACATTATTCTTCAGTGCAACTAGTGGTTTAAACTTTGCACCATAGCGCTCTCCTCTGAAGAGAAGCTATAGATGGAGCACATAATAAGTAGGCGCTGGAATGTCCTGGATTGTGCAAGTATGCAAACCCAAATATAAATATATTTTCTAATTATAAGTCAAGGGGTCATTATTTGCTTTTTGAAAAGTCAGTCAGTTGAGTATTTGTTAAATTCCTACTGAGCACTTTTATGTACCAAGGATTCACAGTAGGAGTCTTGTAAATACCACGCTCCCTTCAGCACATTTAAAATATGATTGGATTTGTAGCCCTTTCAGAATAACAAGTCATAAAGCATTCTACCAGTAATCTTTAAATCAGTCATCTCTGCTGCTTTTTAAAAAAATTCGCTCCCTATACACACACTCAAGTACATTTCATTATCAATACAATTTATACTACTCCATTTCAAAGAGTCTGCAGTTAAGAACGCCGAGCAGAAATACAGCAGTACAACTTCACTTTATTAAGAACCACTTGTCAAATTCTAGTTTGTTCTCATTGTGATAATGGCCCTTATGTGTTGTGACTCAAAATAGTGGATATAGTTTTTATGTTCAGATTTTTTCTGCTTTGGTAACTTCATATAATACTAACTTGAGTTGTTATAATTTTATTTAAAAGCAGAATCAAATTGGATATCCACAGGCTTATGGTCAGTGGGGCCAGTGGTATGGAAATGCCCAACAAATTGGCCAGTACATGCCCAATGGTTGGCAAGTACCTGCATATGGAATGTATGGACAGGCATGGAATCAACAGGGATTTAAGTAAGTATATTTGCTATTTTACTGTTGCTTGAATAGGGACCATTAGGGAGAAAATATTCAACATTTAATGGGCATTATGCTGCTTTTACTAAAGCATAGCTACTATGTCAAAATTGTTGGTTTCTGAAATAGTGAAGTTTCTGACTTGAAATGTTTGCTTTTAGAATTTTCTTGTAAACATTGCCTTTATGAGTATCCTGTCTCATCAGTTTTGGCAATTCTTAATCATGGAATAGACCATTTTTTAGCAAGCAAAAAATTTGATGAGCCTTAGTCATATTTTCCTCTTGTCACATAGTAGCCATTCTGGATACCTTTGCTTCACTGGCAGTTATATTTGTGGGGTTTTTCCCCCTGACAAATGATGTTCTGGATCCTAGAGGACATAGGAAGCCACTTTTGAAGAATGTTTATTTTGGGGATAGTATGTGTTTGTGTAGGGGTGGTGAATCTACTTTGAGAAATTTTTCTATATTCTGTATGTGTGCAACATAAATCCCTTCATGGGCCCTTTCTGTATAGTGAGATAAATTATGAGATTAGGCTTTCTTGTTTCTGCAGATGTAATGGGGAGAAAAATAACTTGGCGTTTGTAAAGAGAATGCCCTATTTATTTTTTTCCTATTAGGAAAAAAGAATTCTAGTTTTACATATGTTAAGTAAAAAGTGATCTTTTTCTTCTTTTGTTGAGGAACCATGAGAGCATTCTGCCATATCTGACCATATTGTCAGTGTTCTTTGTTATTTCAACAAGTTGAAAGATTTTTCTTTTGCCTGGTGTACAAATGGTAATTCTCTGAGATAAGAAGCTTTTTATTTGTTTTTTGAGTCTTGTGGTAAAATGTTTAATTGTACTGTATTAAGAAAGCACCTGTTCAGAATAGGTAGTCTTATGATAGAATAATTCCTAATCAAAAATATGTTAAATGATTCAGTATCCAAATTTGGTATATTGGAATGCTTGCTTTAAAAAAAACCAAAAAACCTTCCTTTTGCTTTTCACAAGGTTTTAATAGTTCTTTGCATGTGTCCCTCGTCCCTTTTTAACAGCTAGCGAGAACATGTTTTCAGCTTTTTCATGTAATGTGCTCTTTGACATTAAAGTACCTTTTTAATTAAATGGCTTCTGTCCCTTTCCCTCCCCATGTATTCTAACCAGTCAGACACCTCCTCCTCCTCCACCACCACCACCACCACAGACTTCTGCACCATGGATGGGTGCAAATTATGGAGTACAGCCACCTCAAGGGCAGAATGGGAGCATGTTACCCAATCAAACTGGATATCGCGTGGCAGGTTATGAGACTCAATGAGAAAGGACTACGGGATCTTAACACCAGTGGCTTGAGGCTACAAGGAGTGTAGTAAAGCCTTTGTTTACTTAAAGATTTATCAAATCAGTCAGTGCAAATGTCAGATACAATGTATTTATTTAAAAGAAATTCATTTTTTAATCATGAAATTACTTGTCATCCACATTGTTTTAATAAGAAACAAGATGCTGGATGTCTGCCAATTTTTGCCTTCATTACTGTTTTTGATAATGTTTCTCAGATCCTTGTTTGAAACACAATAAATGCAGGGATTGCTGCCACTTTTTAAAATTAAGAGGCAGAAAATTGCACAATGTCGAACTTTTTTCCACTGAAGTAGTGTGCAGTTCTAGTTTGCATTCCTAATATGATTTAAAATGTGTAATATAAAAAAATGTACAAAAAGCCAAAACTGTGCAGAGTCTGAAAGTTCTTTGAAATCTTCAACTTGTGCACAATTCTGTGTTTTAGAAGAACAGGCATTGTCTCAGCTGTCCATCTCCACTTTTGTCCTGTCTGTCAGGGTTTTTAAATATAAATTATTAGTTTACATCATTTTGTATCAACATTTTTTCACAAAATTTTGTCTTGCCTTATTAAAGTTCTGTAAATTATAGTTAAATGGGGAAAATGATGTTCAACCTTTTAAAAATTGCAAAACTTTCTCAGATGGATCGATAATTGCATTCATTTTGTGTTTTATATGAGAAGGTGCCTAGAGAATTCCCTGTTAGATTTGTTTTAAAGAATTTTTATCTTCTGTGATAAACTTTGCTGTGTACCAGGAAATATATATATATAAAACCATACTAAAGACAATTACCGAAATGTGATAAATTTCTATGAACCCCCCTATTCATTTCATCTGTCAACTTTACATTTACATGTATTATTTCACTATCATGTAAAATATTTTAGCAAATTAATATTTTGCACAGTTAGCAAACTTTGTCATTTCCTTATTTAAAGGTATGATACAGAGTTGCCATGAGATTTATATTTTACGTTTGCATGTCAGTATCAAATATACACTTTGGTAGTCTTTGAATACAAAGTCATCTGCTCTTATTTTTAAAAAATTAAGACAGTTGTAAGTAAAAAGAAAAGCTATCAATTTGCTGTTTTCTAGTTGTTAGATTTACTCAAGTAGAGTAAGTCACTTAATTTTAATATGTACAACTATAGCTGTGAAACTATAGAATATCCTTTTATCAGGCATGGGGTATGTAGAGTGCTCCACAATTTGCCTGAAGGACCAGCTGGGCAAAGCATTTTTTAAAAAAAATGTTCAGAGGCCAAAAAAAAAAAAACCCAAAAAAAGAAAAAAAGAGAAAGAAAAAAAAAACCAACTTTATGATATCCTACCTCCTTAACCAGCCTTCAAAGAGGAGAGTCCTCAGTGTAATTTATGATCCTTTTGGTACCTGCTTTTGTGGAGTTCCCAGCTCACTCTGACTCATTCTGCATCAGTGTCTCTTTGGGATAACTCCACATATTCAGGGGGTTTTATCTTTGATGGCTTCATTCTAGTTTTTAAAGTTTCTTTTTAGTGCATTTCAAAGTCTTATGTAAGTCATGAGGGATTTTTTTGTTTTGCTTTTATTTTAAAATGAAGGGCAAGCTTGGTCTCTTCGAACCTCCTCCTCTTCCTTGCTTCACACTAGGAAATATTTGAGGTAGTGTGATCCCAGTATACACATAACATATATGTGTGTATGTATGTATGTATATGTATAGTTGGGGGTATCTTTTTTAAAGACCTTCAAAACTCCTGACGCCTTAGGGACAAGAAAGGCCTAAGGAATTTTAGTTTCTGGCCTATATCTCCAGGTAAGAGCAAATGACTCTTAAGCTGGTCTCTTAAGCCAATAAATTGTAAAACTGGGGGCCAGAAAAGAATGTTCATAAGTGTTTAATTCTCTGGAGATCAATTCTATGCAGCTGTACTAAAAATGTTTCATTGAGTCACTGTGTGTGTTTTTTCAAGTGTTGGTACTTAAGAGTTTGCTTTATGGAAGATGGCGTAAATTTTTTAAAAAATGGAAACTTTATTTCCATGTTAACTTTTGCAGATCAGGGCATGCAACCCAAAACAAAATGAAAATGAAATACTCAAAAAAATAAAATCAGGAAACTCATTTTAGATTTCTTGACTTATGTTTCTATTTAGACATTCATTGTAGCATTCCAGATTTAAACAAAAATAGCTTTTACTTCCTGCATATCAAGAACTGCAGGTTGAATTAATTAGATAGATTGTATGTCTAGAGCTAGAAGGAATATGAGAGGCCATCTGGTTTAACCTTCTCTTTTTTATAGATGAGTAAACTTAGGCCCAGGGAGATTGACTTGGCCAGGTTACCTAGGTAGTATGCTTCAGAGGTAGGACTTGAACTCAGGTCCTCTGACTCCAGAGCCATTGCTGTTTTTTTCTACCGGGCTGCCTCCCTGATTTTGGATATAAACAGAAATCAGATTTTTCCCATTTATTTTAACTATAGAAAATAAAAATGTTACATGCTTGTTGTACTTGATAACATAATACCAAAATGCTCAGCACCTGCTGATGGGAAAGAAGGTGGTCAATAGAATAACTGCTACTGCCTTACATCTTATTGAGAAAAGGTTACTATTTAACAGCCTTGCATTTTAAAACCAATCTTAAACTGGATTTAAGCTTCCCTGTAGAACAAAGGAAATCATTCAGAAGTTCTTTTCATAATCTGTCCATATCAGGTAAGGAAATAAAATGGTCAGAATATGATTTTTAAAAATTTTGCAATATCTGTTGCTATCAACTCAAAACAATTTACTACTGTAAAGGATCCAAGGTGACTAACACTTGGTGGTTTATGAATCCAGTATTCCACCCCTAGGCTATTTGGTTATTAAAATCCCTTTATAATAAAGTTTCACAGATACCTGGGATGCTGTGGGTGCACGTGAGTGTGGATGTGTGCATGTATATTTTCAACAGTACTGTTAAGTCCATTCATATACTTGATGGGACAAAAAGTTTTCAGAAACTGCTGTTTGCATTGAGTGTTAAAAGCTTCCAAGTAAATGACAGTTATGAAACCCAGATTTATTGTAGTCCCCTGATGTTGGTAGCTTCTCCATTGCAGAGGGCTGATTCATATGTTGGTTTTCTTCTACTTTTGCCCATGTCCTTGTGTTTTTCCCTTCTTATATGTCGAGTTTTCTACTTCATTTGAAAAGAGAGACTGATTTCACATAGGAGCTTCAGTGAAATAAGATAAATTAACAAGGATTAAGTACTGTAGGGGATACCAAAGAAGTAGGAGACATGGGGCCTGTTCTCAAGGAGTTTAGTAACAAGATATATAGGAATGTTACATGGAGCAAGGTAGAAAAATGGGAGTGTTTAAAAATCAGCTTCCACTATAGGTTATTTGTTTGCATTTAATTAAATCAATGTCTTTTGGCTCGTTTTAGAATTTCAGGAATTTAATTCCAGAACAATCAAGTATGTTTTTAAGCCATTAAGGACCTTAATAAAAGTTGTGAATTTGTGCCTCACTTTACAGTTTTGTTGGCTTATTTTCTTTTTATTATGGGAAGGTATAGCCAAGTTTGCCACCTACTTTATAGTATGTCTTTTGATATTCAATTGTTGGTATGCTTTTTTTTTTGAAAGTGACTTTTGTTTGGGTAGAGTATCACAAATGGTAGTGTCAAAGCTTAGGTTTTGCTAAGATTGAACAGATGGAGATAATAGCAAGAATATCTTAAGTTGAAAGCTAAAATTATTCTAATAATGTAAAAGAAAAATAGCTGAAATTACTCATTTCAAAAAGTTTGATAGCATACCATTACTATTAATTTGCTCTAAATTGGAATAATTCTATATTCACTTTCTCTTAAAGGCAGCAGTGACTTAAAGTGGATTCTGTATAGGAACCTGGATATTTTGGAGGATTGGCCAGTTATAATTATGTTACCACTTAGAACTAAGCAGCAGCAAACAAGTGGATTTGGCCCTCTGATTCCTGATGTTAGGGTACTTCCACATTCCAGTCAGACTCATTTAAGGAGTTAAGAAAGGAGAAAATAAAATTCCAGGAAAGGAAAGGTATTTTGTAATCAAGTAATGTTACCGATTATTTTTTTTAATTGTGTGCCTGATAAACTCCGAAGTTAGTCAAAACTATCTTGAGTACTGGCAGCGTTTTCTTTTTTCCAAATCTGTATTCAGCATTGTGGGAAATCCCCTCTACTGATGTAGTTACTTAAAGAACTAAGCTTTTCTAGAGAATTGCCTCACGCATGGAAAATTTATGATTTGCCCATGGTCAAAAAATAGATTTATCAGTGGCCACTTATTTGAATCAGGTGAGTGTATGGCTTTCCAAGGAACCTGCTTTGAAACATGATTATACAAACATTCATTTCATTTCTGGTAACTTTTTTTAAAAAAAATTTTGATTGTTGTATTGTCAAGTTTATGCCACAAAAATGGATGATACATGGACAAAGTGACTTCTTGCTATGGTTAAAACCCATTTTAAGACTAGATGAAGGACTTGTATTTGGAGATACATTTGGATTCCAGATCAAATTCGACTTTGCACATTTGAATTTCTTCTCCGTTTTCAACGAAACTGACACTGAGCAGATAACATGATGAGAAATTATATTTAAAAAGTTTGATGCAAATAAGTATTGGTTCTTTCATTTTAAATATAGGTGTGGAGTTTGTGTAACAGTGCAAAGTGAAGTTTTGCCAATTGATATGACAGCTAAAGAAGAGACAAAAGACTAATGATAAGAGAAAGACTTGGTTTCTGTTATATCTACCATACTTCCCATAGGGAAATTTTCAGGGAGAAAATGATAGGGAAACATTCCTAGATTAATGTTTTCAGAAACAATAAGGAGGTCCAAAATCTCTTGAAGGATGTTTATAATATTAACATCAGTTATGGAGAGAAGGAAAATAATGTATTAAATGTTAAATTGTTGGCGATTAAAGATGGATTTGACTGTTAAGAAAATTTTACACAACATAAAACTATGTCCAGGAAAAAACACTGGGGAAAATTTTTATACTATATATAGGGATAGAAGCTGGATGTGTGATTTCAGTGATAATGGGAAACTGCCAAATGAGGAAATATTTGGTATCAATGCAGCTTCCATAGAACTTACTATCTCATGGAATTGTCTAGAGCATTGGTGTTAAACTCAGAAAGGGGATGGGCACTAAACCAAACATAAAAATCCATGCTGCATGACTTAGTTTTTAAATGTAGTGTTTGTTATCTGTTTTATTCTGGTTTTATTTATTAAACTTTGTTTTAATGTGATTCTGGCAGATTCAGGAGCGGTGTTGGGTATGGATGGTAACTCTGGTCTAGTGTACTGAAAGATCAAGTGACTTATGTTCTCAGGGTTACACAGGTAGTATGATGTCAGTGGTGGGACTTGAATTCAGTTATTCTTAGCTTGGACACTAGCTCTATATCCTGTTATGCCTCACTGGAGTAAATGTCAGATAAAATATCTGACATGAAGAATATTTAAGGAACTGGTAAAGTTTAATCATGGATAACTATGGTCAAAGACTATGAACACTTTTCAGAAAAAATGTTAATATTTGAAAACCAGTTTAAACTTTAATAATCTGAGAATTACCAATTAGAATGTACCACTTAAATATTTTGAAGAACTGTAACTTCTTCAGTGTGGATACTCACTGATGGAGTTTGTCTTTTTCATGGACAGCGTTTATTTTGTTGCTGCATTGTTTCTTTCCCCTTAACACTCTTTATCATCTCTTCTCCTCTCCCTCCATTTAAAAAAATCCTTTTCTAACATTTAAGGAAGATCAACTATAGATAGCGATTGTTCCTGGCAGCATATGTCAGTGATGCAGATTTCAACCCCTCTACAAATATGTAGCTTAATAAATTTACTCTGCTTAAGAAATTCATGACCTAGTCTTGTGTCTGGCCCTTTAGTAACGTCTCCAGTCTTAGGCTAGTCCTCAAGTAATATCGTCTATTGACAAACTCATACTCTTAAGTTGTGAAGGTAAAAATGATAACAATTTAAGGGATGTGTGTTGTGAGTCTTAAGTAATACAGTGTTAAGTCATGACAGCATCTAGCACATAGGAAGCACTTAATGCTTATTATCTACCATGTGCTAGACATTTTATGGGGAAAGACAACATGCAAAACCTGCCATGTAACATACAAAATAAATGCAGTATAAATGAAAATCATCTCAGAGGCAAGGCATCAGAAAGTAGAGAACTGGAAAGGCTTCTACAGAAGGTGGAATTTTGAGATTGAAGAAAGCTAAGAGGCAGAGGTGAGGAAGAGCATTCCAGGCATGGGAGACAGCCAGTAAGAAAAAAAACACAGGATTGGGAGGTGGAATGCCAAGTGGTATTGGATTGTAGATGGGAGGAGGGAGAAAGGGGAAAAGTCTGGAAATGTAGAAAAAGCAAGGTTGTGACCAGCTTTGCCAAAGGGGTGGTGGTTTGATGATCTTGGAGATACTAGAGAGCCCCAATAGTTTGTTGAATTAGGGGAATGACATGGTCAAACCTTTAGGAAAATTGCTGGCAGCTGAGTGAAACATGGGTTGGAATTAGTCAAAGCAGGAATACCAATTAGAAGGCAATTACAAAAAAAAAAGCGGCTATTAACAATATTCCAGGAATAAGGTAATGAGGATCTGTACCAGGGTGATAACTTGTGTGATTAGAGAGAAGGGAACTTATGGGAAGTGTTGTGAAGGTTGTGAAGTTGTAATGGATGTGTGTTGTGAGTCTGAGAAACTTAGGGTGACACTGAGGTTATGAGTATGGGTGATGAGGAGGAGGAGGATGGGATTCTCAAAAGTGATAGGGAAATTTAGGAGAGGGAACTGGTTGAGAGGAAGGATGGTTATTTCTGTTTTGGTTATATTTTGAGTATGAGATGTTTATAGCATATCCACTTTGAGTAATTCAAAAGGCAAGATGAGATTGTGAAGTGGTTAACACATTTTATGAGAGACATTACTATAGTACATCCAGAAGAGTGACCAGGAGTGGTAGGAACTGACTGAAATATCATACAGGGTTTAATTGAAGCAACTGAGGATGTACAACTTGAAGAAAAGATGAGTAGACAGGGAGTAAAGATAATTATCTTTAGGTATTTGAAAGATCATATAAGTGGAATTCTGTGGTGTTCTTGCAGGTAAAATTAGGTAGAAGTCCATTTTAGGCAAGTAAATTTTGATTCATTTTAAAAACTTACAATTGTGAAATTTCTAAATCATTGGAAAGTATTTGATTATCTAAACTTTAAAAGAAATTGATGTAGATTCTCTCGCTAGTGCAGATCACAGTTCATGTACCTCCAAATCATTGTGTGTGATTTGTTGTCCATGCTTTCCTACTGATCCTTCACAGAGAATCTACCCAGCACATGGAAGGCCTTTTTATATTAATTGAGCAACAGTGCGGTATTTGGGCTTGTGTCCATGTGCCTACTATATAACTTTTTACCACTTTTTTTCAGTCGTACATTTCTTGGCTATCATAAGTTATTCTTGCACAAGTCATTATTGATGATGGAAGTACAGCCTAATTATATATGGTGCACACTTCATTAGTGCTCTTTGGAACTACCTATAGTTTTGTTTTGTTAGAAATTATGGATTTGTATAGCTAGATAGCACCAGTGGAGGAATGTGCCAATGGGAGTTGGCATAAAGGAGGAGTTGGAGATTTAGAAGCAGTGTATATTATTCCAAATGCAACTCAAGAAACAAAATAATCTATGGCAAGAATCAGTGCAGTTCTAAGTCTAAGGTTGAAAGATCATTATTGATTGACAAAATCTAGAAGGTTTTGTAGATGAAGTGGCATTTGAATGAGGCTGGAAGGGATGGATAGGAATGAGATACATGGAGAGGGACAGGCAAGACAATTCAAGAAGCTGGATGGGATAACTGCATATCAAGTATGTTGTAGAAATGATTCTTACAGAGGCTGCAAGGTTGGACTAGGAAACTCAAAAGGTATCTTTTCCAACTCTGCTTCTTCAGTGTATTCCAAACAAAGTTACTAAAGTTTAAATGCACAGTTGCTTTATCCTTAGATATTTAAATGCTTTTAGGATCTGTGAGTCTGCTGGTGTGGTTCCTTCCTCCACTGACAGATTGCAACCTTCATAGAAGTCATTTTCATACTGTTGCTTTAAGAGGTCATGCTACTGAACTTCCTACTCCATGTAGTTCTTGTTTGTTTGACTTCCAAACAGTCATGATAGTCAAGCACAGTTTGTGGCTATTGTCTATGTAAATTTTCCATCTTCAGTCAAATTCATGGAACTACAAATGTTTCAGCAGTGATTAAAGTTAATGGCATGACTGCTGTTATGTCATAGTTAGTTTTCATCATGTCTTAGTATGTTCCTTGTGACTCTGAGGTATATAGTGTAAGTATTAATCTTCCCACTTCATAGTTCAAGAAAATAGGTGCAGAGTTGGAAGTCCACTGTCACACAGTGCATCTCCTGAGTGCAAACAATTATCTCATTTTCTCAAACAAGCTTCTAAAGCAGGCAGAGTACCCCTGTGTAGCATATGGAGACTAAATGAAATGTCAGAACACCACACTGAATTAATGGTACAGCAGGGAGTACCTCCCTACAATCCAGTGACATAGATTCTTAGGATTAGTAATGGAAAGAAGCTTACATCGTTCTAGACCGACCTCATTTTACATAATGTGAAAATGGGTTCAGAGACTCAACACTAAGTACTAAAACTAGGATTCAAACTCAGATCTTTAGGCTCCAAATTCGATGTTTTTGCCACTACCATGTGGGTGAAATTCAATCTCAAGGGAAATAATATATAGAATAAATGCATTGGAACCGGAATGGGGAAAGCTGTAACCTACTGCAGTTTCCTCTTTCAACTTGTTTCCTCATGTAAAATTAGGGTGTTGGATTACATCAGAGGTTCCCAAACGTATTTGGCCTACTGCCCCTTTAAAGAAAAAAAATTAGTATGTCCTTTCCATCTGCTTTCTTTAACCCTTTGACAAATACATAAAATATTTTTTAAATGACATCTTAAATTTAATAGTTTATTGTAAATTCATGGTTTTTTTTTCCTGCATTGAACTTTTAATGACAATATTGCCTTATGTAACTATAGTATCATATTGTAAGCATGTCATTACACTCACATATTCCTGACAATGCATGCTGGACTTTCTGACAATGTGTGATATGCCCCAGCAACACTTGCTTTTTAAGACCTGTCAGCGGACTTGACCACTGATTGGTTATAACTTGCATTTTGTGTGTTTATTTGGAAAATGGTGTAATCATTACCACTTTAACTCTGTTACACAGATCTGCACAACCTGTGGCCCACCAAAGGATTTCCTCTACATACAAAGGATGTTTTCCTCTATGTTTTTCATGGGCTGGCCAAAATCCTGTCATGTGCTTTGGGCCGATTGTGCAGGCCTGCTGTTACACAACAGATGAAACGTATGAAAGATTTTTCAAAATTCTCTTTCCTTATGCTTCCACTGTCTCTTAGTTTTGTTCAATGCCCTCCAGTTGTACCTGAGGCCACTACTGTGTCCCCCCTTACCCCCATGGTTCCAGTGTTTCACAGGGGTCGCTATCTCCCACTTTGGGAACCTATGGACTTGCTAGATAATCTCTAGGTTCTTTTCCAGCTCAAATATTTTGTGATTTGGATGTACGTGGACCTTTCTCCTTGGAAGGTCAGTTACTGTAGTTGAAAAAGTAACCTGCCACACACAAACCGTTAGTGGTCAGGAGAAATAGAGTTGGCCTTTTTATTTGGATAATGGGCATTTAGTGCAGTTATGTAAAATTATGCACTGCAGTCATTTATGCTTTTGTTTCAGCCCCTTAGACTGAAATACAATGTAACTATATATGGAACATTAAATTTTTACTGTGTGCAAAGCACTTCCAAATTGAGATAAAACTTCTACCCTGGAATAAGTAACAACTCAGATAAAGGCAGGGGGCCATCTCTTACTCAGATTTCCAGTTTCCCCCAAGGTCTGGCTAAGTCATATGAATTGTAGTCTCTGGCCCAGAAGCATATTAGCATCTTGCTGGGTTTAAAAGGGTTAGTGAATTCTCACTAGGTACCTTTTTGCTTCTTGTTGACCTTAGTATTTAGTTCATGTCCAGAAAAGGTAATGAGCCTAGACCTCTCATGCAAAATACGCAGGCTAATGACAATACAGCATACATTTATTTAGACATAAAAATGTGCAAAGGATATGCACCTCGAACTCTTAAATGATCAAGATTAAACTGTTCTTTTGAATCCTACTTACTAGAAACCTAAGCACCACCCTCTCCCAGCAAAAGGAAAGCATTTGTTTTGTTGCTGAAGAGTCAAGCAAGGCTCGCCTCTGCAGAACCCCACTACTTCAAGGTCCTTTGGACATAACTGTGTTATATGTGGTATACTGGGTGATAAAGGGAGAATTAACACCTGTTGAGAGAGCCCATTTCAGGGCTACTCATCCACTTTAGGTGTCCACTTGTCTCCCATATCTTACCTGTGGCTCCAAAAAGCTGTAGCATTGACAACAGCCATAGCCAGGTAAAACTGGGCAGAAGGGCAAAACCCAGGTTGAGGGTAATCCACAAGCCTCAAACAGTGAATCCGAGGTGTCTACGCTAATGAGAAAGACGTGCTGCCCCAGCCCACGGGCAGATGAACCGATTTGTACTAATGCCATGGTGGTGAGCTGAAGCAGACTCTGGAGTGCTTAGAGCTTGGTCAGACATCAAAGCCTCCAACCTCATCCACTGCATTCTGGGCCTTAACCAGCCCTGACTTTTATTTTGCTGCTGCATTTCCATGACTGGAAGAGAGTAAGGTTGAAATTTTGTGCAATCCGGCCTCAATTAAATCCAATTACTATGTGATATCATGGTCCTCTCCAAAAGGAAGGACCAACAACTGGAAATCATACCTCATACAGTATTTGGGTCCTCTCCTGCCCCTCAGCAAGGGAAAAGTACTTGACAATATAGTGCACCTTCCTCCCCTGGATCCTCGTATTACATAGCCAAAAACCGGGTTTGTTCTTTCACGTAATGGATTTATCGTCAATAGCACTCAGCTTTGCTCTTGCCATTTCTGAAGGCCACAAGCTCAGGCCAGGAACCTACTCCATGCTCACGTTTTCCTTGGGCACAGGGTTCCATGGAGAGGCTGTGTGGCTGCACATGCTTTTGGAGAACAAAGTCCATGTGTGCCGCACCAGTTTCTCCGGCTTCCCAGCTTTTCCTTTTAAAGGTCAAGTGAAACATTATTACACAGAGCAAGGAGTTTGCATATTATCAGAGACACTTTCAGGGAAAGGAATTTTGTAGCTGGTATATAGATAATTTCATGTCGTTGGCCGAAGGCAAAACTGGGCATACCTACTACAGAATTAATAAGCTTGTGTCAAAAAACGCTCAGGCTACTCTGAGTGTTAACAGTTTTCTTCCAAGTTCGGGTTCATTTCTGTGCGAGAATACAAAGAATGGATAGCCTTTCTGCGTGCTCCGCTTCCTCTATCTCGTTCCCACTTCCAATATTTAAGACGGTAACCTTTTTTGTCTTTGCACGACCTACAACGCCTAGCACTCTTCCCCATATTCAAGGCAGAGCGCTTACAAGATCGTTACGGAATTTAATTGAATTCAGCAAGGCAAAACTACTACTACTCCCAGCTGGCCTTTGGGGCGGGAGAAAGGAGTGGGACGTGCATTATCCGCCACGTGGAAGCTTGTCGACCAATCGTGGCTGCCGTTACAGCTGGCGGTTGGCAGCTTCTCGTAAGAAGCCATGGCGGAGGGTCTGAGTTGAGGGTTGGCTGTGGCGGCTGCCAGTTTGGGGCTCTAGGGCAAAGCTGCGGGCTGAGGCTGCCAAAACAGGTATATATGAGCAATGTAGCGCGTCAGGAGGGGACGGTTTGTCAGGGGGCAGAGGACTGCCATACTACCAAACCGAGGCAAGGGCGTCGGGAGGCAGAAGGTGCTGAGAGAGGCCGGTGCCTCCGCTCCGTCTGCCTGACAGCCAGCGGAAGTGACGTGCGAGGGCACGGAGCATGCCGGGAGGCTGCCCTCCGCCGAGGGTGGCGGGGCTCCGAGGACCTGCTCGTCCCCGTCACGCCCAGACGGGATGGAGAGGAGGCGGTCTGGGCTGGAGGAAAGGCGGGTCCAGAGCTGGGGGAGGCCGTGAGGTGGGTACCGTTCCCAGGGAGGAGGCTGACGGGCGCTCATGTCCACCTGAGCCACAGCACCAGGATCGGGGACTGTCGGAGCTGGAGGCACCTTAGACGTAATCCAGTACCACCCCTTCATCGTGCGGCGGAGGAAACTGAGGCGCGGGGGGCTGGGGGTCGGGGTGTGCGTGGTGGGTGAGACGACAGGGACTTTCCCGGGGTCGCACAGTTAGTTGGTGGCGTGGACAGGATTCGACCTCCGCGTCTTCGATTCCAGATCCAGGGCTCTTTCCGCTCCTCACCTTTTGCCTTGCTTCAGGCGGGGCAAGGGTGCCCCGTGCCCCGGGGGGAGGCAGAGGTGCTGCCTCCGGGCCCCGGCTGGGGGCTGCGGGGAGCAGGGCTGTCCAAGCCGGCTCCCTCGTTACCCACCTGTGCGATCCCGGACAAGCGACCCAAACTCTCAAGCCGCAGTAAAGGGCTGATAATTCCTGTGCTAGCTCCCCTTCAGGTTTGTTGTGAGGAACGTGCCTTTTGAACCCTAAAGATGATGATTATGATATCTGACTTTTCTCTGACTCTTTTAACATTTGTAAGTTATGCTGTTTGAGCCTCAATCACGACTGCCGATTATCGGATAGGATCGTAGATTTAGAGCAGGTACGAAGTCACCAAATCCAACTTCTCGTTTTGCATATAAGAAGACTGAACCCCAGAGAAAATTAGGACATATACGGGGTCACAGTGGTAGTAAGTAGCTGAGCTGGGATGTGAATCCAGGACTTAGGTTTCACTGTTCATTTCAAAACTGATTTGGAGAAAGCTTCTTTGCAGTCTGTGATCTTTACAGAGGAACAGATATCTACAAAACTGATAGCTAAAGAGTAAATGTCTCATAGCTGAGGACTGAGTAATAGTATTTTGTAAAACTTCCTTCTTGCTATCTATGCCTTATGTTTCCAAATCAGTACTATAATAGTTGAGTATTCCTTTCCTCTCCCCCCCAACAAAAAAAAACACAAAAAACAAAAAAACCAAACCAAACACCTTTCGTGTTATTTTGAGATGGAAGCAAGAGGATAAATAGTGAAATGAGAACTGTTCTCCACCAAATTCCTCCAGTGTTTGATCATAGTTTAGAGGTGATTCTAGGTTTTTTAGGACTATGCCAGTGGAGCAGAAACTCTAACATCTCCTGCTAAGATGAAAAGGGGCTTTGAGTGGTGAGGCTCGATGAGGAACTGTGTCTGTCATTCAAAGAAATCCTAGCTATATTTGGTTAGGCTCATCATGAGGTTGGGGGCAAAGTGATTTGGCCATAGCAACTCTCAAGGACTGTCTACTAAGTCATAGTGTTGTTGTCAACTTCCTGGGAATCTACATATGGAAGAAATCACAGGTCCCTGAGGAAGAGATCACTAAAACATTTTACAAATTTGAGATTGGTATTATTACTAAGATGGAATGACAGTATTTTCTCTGTCTACCTCTCAGAATTATTGTGGTGATGAAATAAATAATGTGAAAGTATTTTTTAAAGCTTTGGAGTATTTTACAAGTGTACAATATTTGAGTATTTTAAAATATTCAGTGACAGGATGCAGGCAAAATCTTTGTTACAAAGAAGAGGGAGATGTGTAAAAAGATGAAGTAGTATGAGAAAAGGAAAAGTAGTATGACAAATCTGAAGAGGGAAAAGTTTGCTTTTTGGTGTGTGTGTGTAGGAATGCTTTGTAGAGGAGGGAGCATTTGAGTAGAGGAAAAAAGGGCAGGTAGAGATATGGGGTGTCAGAGGAGATGTCGATTTCAGGTAAAGGAGATGGTGTGAGTGAGAAGGCACAGAGGAAAGAACAGGAGGGTAGGGAGTAGAGAATAATTCAGTTTGAAAGGTAGTTTGAAGATAAATTGTGTCTGGCTTTGAATGCCAGGATTAGGAGTTTATACATTATTTGTTAGGCAGCAGTAGGGTGCCATTTATTTATTAGTTGCCATTAGTAAACAATTTTATAAGTTCCTGTATCCAAAAAAAAAATATCACCAGACTTTTGGAAATGAGTCTCCTTCTTGAAAACTTAGCTAGCTGGTTCTTAGATCACATTCTATACTTAAATCACATGCTTAGATCACATTCTATACTTAAATCTTTTCTAGCTTGCTTGGGCCTGTTAAAGCTTGGCATTTCTTCAAGAAACCAGAATCCCCTCCATGCCACAGTGAGGCATTAGTGGAAGACTTTGGTGAAGAACAAATGTAAATATAATTTTTGTTAGGCTGCCCCGTGCATCTGAAGTGGCATGCTTCCTTTTTTTTTTCATAATTAAATTTTATTTTTTTCAATTAGCAAAAACCTGCCTTCATTCCTTCCACTTCCCTCACAATTATTTTTTGTTACTTACATGCTAACACATATAACCTAAAGAGTTAAATTCAATCAATCAAGCATTTATTAGTGCTTTTTATGTGCTAGACTCTGTGCCTAAATTCACTTCAAACATTAAATGCCTGCTTATGTGGAAGGAAGGGTCTTTTAGAAGAATATAATACTATATAGTACATTATTTCTATTTTTGTCAGTCAGCAAGCATTTATTAGGTGCTTACTATGTTTTAGGTACTGCAATTGAGTTATCCATACAAAAATTAATGCTTTCTTAGCATTTTGAGATAGATGAAATAGGTGTTGTCATTTCCATTTTTATTACATTTTTCAAAGTTACTGTTGTGGCAATCATGATCACTTGATGATTTGGTATACTGAGATACTGTTTCACTTTTATACCTGGAAGAATGTGCAAGAACAGCTTGTATCTTTTAGAAGTACAAACGTCTACAAAGTGAACACTTTGTTATGCCTTACTTGTGGTTCTGATATTTTAAAGTAAAAGCAAGTTAACGTCAAATAAGAATCAGGAAAACTGTTCAGAAAGTCCATTGACTCTTTGAAATGCCAACCTACCCATGGTGGCTAAAAATATTGATGTCATAATATGTAATATTTAAAATTATGAGTTGTCTTTAAAATTTATTTGAAAATAATAATTCTGAAAATCATTAAATAGATTAATAAATTACACTTGGTGGTTTAGTTCACTGATTTTTTTGTTTATGGGGAACCTTCATCCCTAGAATCTGGTGGTTTCCAAAATAATTTTGGAAAATTATATATATATATATATGTATATTTAAAAAATAGGTTTTTATTGATATCTTTCATTTTTACATCAGGATTTTAAATTCCAAGTGGAGGAGCTTTCATTTTGTCTTAGAGGCAAGAGGGAGGCACAGGAGCTGCTTTGAGCATCAAAGGGAGATAGTCAGACTTATGCTTTGGGAATATCAATTTGGCAGCTATGTGAGTGGTGGATTGGAGGAGGGTAAGACCAACTGGAGACAAACAGTAATCCTGGCAAAAGGTTATGAGGGCCTGAACTGTGTAAATAAAGAGGAATGGTGGTTAGGAGAAATTGGGAGGTGGAATCAACAATACTCAACAATAGGTGGGAATATGAGGGGGACAGTAAAGATGACCCCAAGGTAACTTACCTGGGTTAAGTATGATCGAGGCCTTAGAAGAAATAGAGAAGTTAGAAAGAAAGAAGGTTTTTCAGAGGAAAAATAATTCTGTTTTGGGCATATTGAGTATGAAATACCTGGTGATATGGATCTGGAACTCAGGAATGAGACTCTGGATTTATAGCTCTGGGAAGCATTTACATAGATATTTGAACTTATGGGAGATATAGAGATGACTGAGAAAAAGAGTATAGAGGGATAGAAGAGGGCCCAGTGCAAAACCCTGGGATACATCCTGGGAGCAGGACATGGATTATAATCCAGCAAAGGAGGCTGTGAAGGCCAGATAGGAGAACTAAAAGAGACAGTGTAACTAAAACCCAGAGAGGAGGAAACGATTTTAGACTCAGAACTGGGACACCTGCAGTCACCAACTCCAACCCCTTCATTTTATATGTGGAGAAACTTGGGCTTAGAAAGGTAGTGATTTGCCTAAGATTATGGCGCTACTAGGCAGCAGGGCCAGTTCTCAGACTGTGCAAACCTTTTGACTCCAAATCCCATGTACTTTCCACCGTAGGGAGAGGATAGCTTAAAGGAACAGAGGTGGTCAGCTGTGCAGAATATTTCAGAGAAGTCAAGAAGAATGAAAACTGAGAAGAAACCACTTTGTATACATATCGTATATACAGGAGCTGAGTTTTTGACCTGGATGTTTTCATGTTTCTATGATTTAAGCAAATCAGAACCTCCCTGAAACTAACTTTCCTCATTTGTAAAATGAAGGTAATACTTAAGCTTAGAAGATCAAATAAGATGGTCTGTGCAAAGTGCTTTGTAAATCACAAAGATCTGCGGAAATGTGAGCTATTGTATCTTCTCTGCTAAATAGTGATAATGCTTTATTTCAGTAGAGCTAAAAGACCTGCATTTGTGTTCTAGCTCTTACCAGTACTAGCTCTGTGGCAAATCACTTAAGTTCTCTGAGTTTCTTTTCTCTTTTCCTCCTTTCCTTTTTCTTTGTAAAATGGGGATTGTAAGAATACTTGTACTATTTATCTTACAGGATTGCTGTGAGAAACATACTTTGTACACTTGGGCCTTTATTAAATTCCTCTCCAAAGGTACATGAGGACTACCTGGTATAGATAACAACCTCATTGTACAGATGAGAAACTTGAAGCTCAGATTGTTCGAGTGACTTGCCTAAGGTCACGCACTAGTTAGTGGGAAGGGGATAAGAATGTAGGTGTTCTGACTCTTCATAGAGTATTCTTTCTTCTCTACCAAGTGAAGATGATGAGATGCAGGCACAGAAATATACTGAGTTTGAAAGTTCTGCACAAACAACATGATTATTAGATAGAGTGTGCTGTACCCACTAGGAACTCTGTGTTTTCAGCTAATCTCTCTTTTGGCCATATGAATGTTCCTTTTACTCATACATGTTACAACCTATTCACCCTTTCTTACAAATGTTTTTGTTGACTGGCTGTGCCAGTCTTGTTCATGTTTTTCTATAAATCCTCCATGGAGGAGCTACCTCAAATGTCGCTTGAAGCTTTACTCCAGTCCTTTTCATAGTCTGTGGGTATCATTGCAGCGCTGGGCTGTTATTTTTCATGCCATATGACCAGCCCACCTTTTAAAAATTCAGTGATAGTGGTGACTTTTAATTGCATAGGAATGCAGGCTAGCTTTTTCAAAGTAGTTTTATCTGTATTCCAGCATATCTTATCAATTTATTAATTGATTGCATGAAAACATGGCTTTTGGAGAAAGTTCTTTCTATGGGAACCGAACTGAGCGGATCCTCCCTGATGGGTTGATTTATTGTATGATATATAGGCATGAGGCTTTGGAGTAGTTTACAAGCCTTTGGCTTCTTTCATTTCTTGACAAACCCTATTTTTCATCATGATCCTTTACCTTCCACTGTACCCACTTTTACTCTTTAGTTTGTCAGTGTCAAAGTAAATGTTCACTTAGTTTAGAAGCTCTTGTGTTCTTCATATAAGTCCTCTACTACTTCTTTCTCTGGAACAAACGTCAAACTACAGTCATTTTTATAGTGGTATGTTTGCTTATGCTTATTGTGAATACATTAAGGCAAAATAATTGACTTTCTCACAAAATGGTTTCTTGGCTTATAAGAAGGCATGAAACCAGCTCGCAGTTCCTTTATTCATTTCTCTGAAAAGAACCTGTGACTTACCCTTCTATTTAGTTTCATGGCTTTTATGCCTTTAGTTTGATTCATTGCAATAATATCACTATAAATGTGGTTCATTTCCTCCAGTAGTGTATCTGTTGGCCTTCAGATAAATATTTCTGATTGAATATTATCAACATGAGGTGGAAAGGGAAATAAACAAATTAACCAGGCCATCTAGGGAGCAATGCTAACATGTCAGCATTCAGAAACAAAGATTTACACTGTTTGGTCTTATGAGAAGCAATATGATATGAAATATGGTATAAAATAGTATAGAATTAGAAATCAGGGGAATTTGCATCCAGGCCTAACTTTGTTCATGAACTTGTTATGTTATCTTGGCAAGTCACTTAAACTCTTTTTGTCTCTGTTTCATTGTTTGTTGTAAACTTTCCTACCTCTCACAGTGTTATAATGCCCAAATGAGATCATGTACATGTAATTTCTTTGATATAAAGCACACCACCTATTATTATATTCATTATTTTTATTAGCAAGGATGAATATCTAACTATTATACAAGTGTTATCAGCTGCCTCTTTTCTAGTGACATTGTCACTATTTATATTTTTTGACAATAAATTACCATTCTGGCCAATGATTTTTCTTAGAACCTAGTATCCTCCTATCATCTGTAATAATTTGGATTCCTTCTTTTCTGTTTCCTCTTTAGACATTTTTCTTCTTTGTTAATTTTAGGCTAAAGTCAATTCACTGTGGAATGTAATGAGAATCTTGCCTAATCTTTGGAACCATCAGGCAGGTGCCCTGCCATTGGCTGATCAGGAAAGAGGAGGCAGAATGTCCTCATTGTTACACCATAAGTTTAAAACTTCAGACTCTGGCTTGGTTAGTGCCAGTGACTTGGACAGGTTGTTTTTGGCACCTCTTCTCTGTGATCACCAGCTGATGAGATAAATACCTTCCAGGCCTTGTGAATCCACAAAGCAGTTAGGTCTTGCCATCATCTAGGTGCGACAGTTGCTTTGCTACTCTGAGATCATTTGGGGGTTTTAGGGAACTCTGGAAGGGAAAGAAACGTTCTTGTCCTTTAGCTCCTTACTCAAGGATAGCATGTTAAAGCTAAAGGATTAGGTTAGATGTTCTCTCTATCTTGGTCATTTTATAGAGCAGAAGCTCATCCTGAAGAAAACTTTTAACACTTTGGTCATATGAAACACCAACATTATGTTATGTGCCATAGAGAATACATAAAATACACTGTTTCCCTATGCTTTATTTTGCTAGTAGGTTCAAATTGATATTTATGTTTGGGATTTCACTTGGAAGGTGGTGCATGACTTTTGTAAATGCTTTCTTCAATACTGCATATAAACTAAGTATTTGTTATGAATTTTACGTCTCTGCTGATAGGCTTGATGTGTTTTCTAGGGCCTGTGAAAAATGGAACCAAACTCACTGAGGACCAAAGTTCCAGCATTTTTATCTGATCTGGGAAAAGCCACCTTGCGGGGGATCAGGAAGTGTCCCCGGTGTGGCACATATAATGGGACCCGAGGACTGAGTTGTAAGAACAAAACGTGTGGAACCATCTTTCGCTATGGAGCACGAAAGCAACCCAGCATTGAAGCGGTCAAAATAATCACAGGATCTGATCTGCACATCTACTCAGTACGGCAGCGAGACAGAGGTCCCGATTACCGATGTTTTGTGGAGCTGGGTGTCTCAGAGACGACCATTCAGACAGTGGATGGTACCATCATTAGCCAGCTGAGCTCAGGACGATGTTATGTCCCCTCATGTTTAAAAGCAGCCACTCAAGGTGTTGTTGAAAATCAGTGTCAGCATATCAAGCTGGCCGTGAACTGCCAGGCAGAGGCCACACCTTTGACCTTGAAAAGCTCAGTCTTGAACTCAATGCAGGCCTCCCCAGAAACCAAACAAACCATCTGGCAGTTGGCCACAGAACCTACTGGCCCACTGGTACAGAGGATTACTAAAAACATTTTGGTGGTAAAATGCAAGGCCAGCCAGAAGCACAGCTTGGGGTATTTGCATGCGTCCTTTGTTCAGAAAATCAGTGCCAAGAGCATGACAGAGCGCCGGTTCTTCTGCTCCTGCCAGACTCTGAAATCAAACAAGTCAAACACCTCCAAGGATGAGCTGGCCCAGAGATGCATTCACTTCTTTGCATGCATCTGTGCCTTTGCCAGTGACGAAACATTGGCTCAGGAATTCTCTGACTTTCTCAGTTTTGATTCCAATGGTAGGTGGGGTTGGCACATGCACTCTTTTCATTTCTAAAATGAGAAGGAATGGTTGAGTGAAATAAGTGCCAGAATCTTAAAAAGAGTGAGCAGTAGCACCTGGTAGTGTTTTAAGAAAAGCTTGTAATCTTAAGAGACAACTAGTTGCTTTAAGATTCAAAGATATAGGGCTTTCCTTATCTGTATCACAAACGGTAGTATAGATTGATATCTAGAGGCCTCTCAAATGTAGTTTTTGAAGCTGTATTTCTGACCGTGAAAGTAACTGAGTTTGTCCATTTTTAAATAAGATAAATTAACAGAAATATTTGGTGTTAAAAACATAGCAAACAAGGTCTTCTCTTATCTGAGTATATAGCACAGTTAGACTACATTGAAATTTGTTTCATTCAGTTTGTCACAATTTGTATGTGACTATTCAGAGAGTTACAAACCCCTAATTCATATGGTAAGAAGATGACCCTTGATGAATTAGACAGCTTAAACTTGACTTTTTCATCTTTTTCATGGTAGTCTTTAAAAAGCCTAAGAATCTTCAATTTTCTTTCTGCTTTTTTCTGATTTTTGAAGATGCAGAAAACTGCAATGTCTTTATTCTCTGTGTGGTCCTTAAAAAGTCTGAAGATCAATTATAGTTTCTGATTTTACCTTCCTTTTGATTTCAGTGATATTTCCTTTTTTCTGTTCCCCCAAATATACAATAAAAAAAGAAACCTTCATAACAAATATACATAGTAAAACAAAAATTCCCACATTGACGATGTCTCATTCTGCATTTTAAGTCCAATGCCTCTCTGGCAGGAGGTGGGATGGTATGCTTCTTTTTTTGGTCCTCTGGATTGTACTTTATTATTGCATTCATCAGAGTTCTAAAATCTTTGATAGTTGTTTGTCTTTATAATGTTGTCATTGTATAAATTGCTCTTCTAATTCTAATTTCCTCTGAAACTGTTTATTGTCATTTTTCGTGTCACAATTTTCCATTATATTCATATACTATGGTTTGTTTAGCCATTACCCAATAGGTGGGCACCCTATTATTTTCCAGCTTTTTGCTACTATGAAAAGGGCTGCTATTTTTGTCCTTTTCCTCTTTCTGTGGGTTCTTTCCTTTTTAAAATTTCTTTGGGCTATATGTCTACTAGCGGGTGGAGGGGTAAGAACAGTTGAGTGACTTTTGGGACATAATTCCAAATTGTTTTCCAGAATGACCATACCAATTCACAGCTCCACCAACAGTGCATTAGTTTGTTTCCTTGCAGCCTTTCCAGCATTTGTCATTTTCCTCTTCTGTTATCTTTGCCAATCACTGATGAGTACGAGATGGAGCCCCAGAGTTGCATTAATTTGCAATTTCTTTAATTATTAGTTATTTGGAGGATTTCCTCACATAATTGTTAATAGCTTGGATTTCTTACTTTGAAAACTGACCACTCATACCCATTGACTATTGGAGAATGGTTCTTATCTTGAAATTGGAATCAATTCTTGGTAAATCTCGTCTATGATATCTTTTATCAGAGAATCTTGCTGTAAGGATTTCCCCCCCAGTTACCTGTTTGTTTTCCTTTTAATTTTAACTGTACTGGTTCTATTTGTGTAAAACATTCTAATTATGAGATTAAAATTGTCCATTTTATCTCTGTGATCATTCTGTCCCTTATTTGGTTATGTATTTTTCCCCATCCAAAGATCAGAAGGATAATTTTTTTCTTTGCTTCCCTAATTTGCTGATAATGGCACTTTTTATGATTTAAGTCACTGTCCATTTGGAGTTGATCTTGGTATACACTGTGAAATGTTGGAATGTAACTAATTTCTTTCATACTGTTTTCTAATTTTCCTAGCAGTTTTTATCAAATAGTGAGTTGTTATCTCAGTAGTTAGGGTCTTCGTGTTTATCAAACACTAAGCTACTAGATTTGCTTGATTCTATTCTACACATTATATCCCTAATTTGTTTCACTGATTGACCTCTCTTTTTTAACTGTTATGAAATCATTGAGATGATTGCTGCTTTATTAAATAGTTTGAAATTTGATACTGAAAGGCCCCCTGCTTTCTCACTTTTTTCCCATTCCTTTTCTTGAGATACTTGACCTTTTGTTCCTCTAGATGAAGTTCTTTATTATTTTTTCTAGCTCTATAAAATGATTCTTTGGTAGTTTGAATAAGTGAGTTAATTTAGGTAACATTGCAATTTTATTATATTGGCCTATCTATGAACAATTAATATTTCTCTAATTATTTAGGTCTGTATGTTTCTGTAGAGAGAATTTTATAGTTGGATTTATGTAGTTCCTGAGTGTGTCTTAGGAGATAGATTCCCAAGTATTTTACACATTCTTTATTGGAATTTGTCTTTTTATGTCTTGTTGCTAGTTTTTTTTTGGTAGTAACAAGAATGTCACTGATTTATGTGGTTTATTTTATATCCTATAATTTTACTGCATTAATTGGTTCTATTAATTTTTAAAGTTGACTCTTTAGGATTTACCAAGAATTTAAAATCATATCATCTGTAGGAAATGACCATTTTGTTTCTTCTTTGCCATTATCATGCCCTTGATTTCTCTTTCTTGTCCTACTGCTATAGCTAGCATTTCCAGCACAATGTTTACGCTAGAAAGATTGGAATTTAAGAATACCTTGAAGGGCCAAACTGTCAATTGGCAGTGCATTTTTTAATCCATAAGGCACATAAAAAAAGATAGGATTTTTCTTTCAGAGTAAAATTATAATAAAACTTTTGTATCACTTAATATGCTTGGTCCTACTGTGAAGTAGTAGTGATAATGGACATCCTTATTTTACTCCTCAATCTTATTGGATTTCAGTGATTAAAAAATGCAAAATGTATTTATATCCAATTGACAGCCATCATCTAACTATTTATCTTTAAGGTTCTATGCACACTTTCCTTCCCCTTTCACTCCTTGGCCTTTCTCTCATATTGAAAAAACACTTCTATGTATTAGGGAGCTCAGTACTTAAAGGAAGTCTGTTTTGAAACAGATTTAATAAATATTTTGGGGGGTTTGGATTTTTGTAAATTCAGTTTTCTTTAAGTGGGGCACACTGGGTTTCTTAAATGATTGTTAATTTAGAGATCTATTTTCTAGGTCTTAAAGGGATTATTGTGCCCCAGTTAGGTTGTCATTCAGAATCTACAGCACAGATTTGCGAATCCACCACCTCTAAGCCAAAGAAGAGGAAAAGGGATGAAGCATCTGGTGAGAAGCTGTTTTGAACATTTGTTTTATTCTATTTCATATGTTGCTGTGGACCCTCTTGATTTTCTGGGGAATTAAAAGAATTGGGCTTTTTTTTTAGAGTAAATCAAGAAGTAGATTCACATCTAAGGTCAAAATAATGCAACCTCTCTAGCACTCTATCTTCTAAAACTTTCTGAAAAACTTTGTATCTTTAAAAAAATTTTTTTTAATCTAATTAGAACTGTGCTATAGTGTCAGTGAAAGCAGGACTACAAAGCTTGCCCTTTTTCTAGAAAGGACATTTTACCCTTTCCCTGTATCTTATGAGACAGTGGATATGTTATCCAACTTCACCTGCTTCTTGCCAGTTTTGTTCAGAGAGGTAGGGCCAGTTTTGTAAAGGGAGGTAGCTACTTTGCAGAGATGATAGGGTAGGGTTATATATATGGGCACATATAACTGCATATTTGTGAAGTGTTGGTTAGTTTTGTTGGACATTTTTGTCCCCTCTTTTTTACTTATTATAAAGAATGGATCTCTGGGAGGAAGCATACATTGGGAAATGTAGATAACTTAAAAATGAAAGATACAATGAAATTTTATTTAAAAAAATTTTTTTCCGCTTAGTTGTATTTTTTTCAGTTTCAGATTTTCTTCCTTCTCCCATCCCTTCCCCCTCTCATTGAGAAGGCAAGAAATACAAGAGCCATTACAAATGTGAAGTCATACAAAACAAATGTCCTGTTAGCCATGTTCCAACTACAACCCCAAGAAAACCCAAGAAAAAGAGAGAAAGAAAGAAAGAAAAAAAATATGTTTCAGTCTGTACTTTGAGTCCATCACTTCTTTATCTGGAGGTAGATAGCATTTAAAAAAAGATATTTGTTGACCTGAAATTTTCATCCAATGGGATATAATTCCTTTCTGTTAAATACTCAGTTCCACTGTTAATTAAGGAAGTTCAAAACCACATGTAAAGATTTATTTTAATTTCTTTCATCGAATATGCAAAGTATACCTAAGCATTATGTAGGAATCATTGCACATTTTGGTCCCTGCAAAAATTAATCTGTATGTATATCCTGCAGACATATTGCTAAAATTTTCAGTCATTTGTATTTTAGGTACACAAGCCAATAGTCCACTTTTGGCTCAAGATGCAGTGAGCAGTAATCTAAGAAAAAGCAGTTTGAAAAAGCCTGCAGTCACCTCTTCAATAAAAAGGCAGGGTAAGTGTCTCTTTACTGGAATGGCTTCAGGTGTTGGAATTTTATCCCTAGGAATTCAAAGTGCTTTCTTTTGAGAACTGTTCAACTATTTGGACACTGAAAATAGGAAAAGTTGCTATGATTTTGACATAAGGAAACAAGGAGGCTGGAGAAATAGAGAAGGGGGGTTGAGCAATGACAGAATCCTGTTTGTATTACATTTGGAATATAGAATAAATAGTATTGGACTGTTAAATTATATCTTTTAAATGAGCAAATGTAATAGAAATATATTGCATCGTTTTGGTAGGATGGGTGGATTTTGTAGAATTGGGGGAGAGAGGAAGAGAATTCCTTGTTTGGTTTCTTATCTACATGCATCATTGGTATTGCATTTCCTTTCCCTAGCAATACTTTCCAGTTTTATAGTGCTTTTTAGTTTATATTCATCATCCCATTTGATCTTCACAATAACTCTGACGTAAGTGGGGAAGAGCAACAACTTTGTGTTATTACAAACATGCCAAGGTCTTCCCATCCTTAAAAAAACTATCACTTGACTTTGTTTTCTCCTCAAGCAGTCATCTTTTATTTCTTCTCCCTTTTCCAATCATACTCCCAGAAAGGGTCATTTACACATATTGCCTTCATTTCTTCACCACCACCCCCACCCGCACCAAATTAATTCCCTTGCCACCTGACTTCCAATGCCACCACTTGACTGAAACTGCCGTATTCAAGGTTACTAATGTTCTCTCTATTTTTTAAATTAAAAAAAGTTATTTGGAAGCTCTTTACTGCTTTAACAACAACAAAACAACAACTGTGGGATAGTGAGTTTTAACTTCTTCAGCCAGAAGACTCCCCCGTTTCTTGCTGCTTGCTTCTGCTGCCATCTCCCAAAGATTTAAGATGCTTTTCAGACCCTCTTTAGACTGTGACCTTGTAGTTGTAGCCTGATCTTCCTGGTTCACATACTGCCACCTCTGTTAGGGGTTATCAGTATGTCATGAAACTTTTCTTCCAGCTAGAGACAATCTTTTCCTTATTGAATTTCTCTGACCATCTGCCTAGACATCTCCTATGCATTTGTCGTATTATAATTTTCATTATACTTAGCTGCACATTTGTCTTATCCCAGTAATAATAATAATAACTGTTATTATTATTCACATTTATGTGGTGCTTTAATGCTAAGGTTTACAAAATGTAAATAATAATCTTGTGAGGTAGGTGGTACAAGTGGTATTCTCCATTTTACAGATAAGCAAATTGAAGCTTAGAAATAAAATTCATAGTCACACAGTAAAAATCAGAGTTGGGATACCATCTAGGAGACTTCGGATGCATTGTTTTCTACTATACCATGCTGCCCCACTAAATTGCAGGTTCCTAGAGGGCAGAAACTATGTTTTGTTTCTTCTTTGTGTCCCCAGCACCTAGTACAGTATATTGCACATAGTAGGTGATTAAATACATTTGTTCAGTTGGTTAAATGATGGATTGGATGTTTTGTGGTCCAGACCTGTAATTTTATTGTAGAAGTGACTTCCTTCTTCCAAGGAATTTGGGCAGCTGTTCTGCAGCTTATAGTCTTAGAGAGATAAATGACTTACCCAACATCATATAGCCCATTTATGTCTGAAACAAGATTTGAACTCAGGCCTTTGGGACTCCAATGACAGCTCTTTATTCACTACCCTGTGCTTTAGGTACATCTAGATGTATAAGTGTGATATATTAATCCATAGTGTAGAGATCAGTCTAATATACTTGAAGGCAGGTTTTGGCTCTTAAGAAGCCGCGTGGCTATTTTGGTTTCTTTGATGATAAAAATTTAAAAGGAATTAGACTAATTTGTAGGCACCAGTTTATTAAGAACTGTATTAAACAGCCATTTGATGTGTTATACTTAAATTTTTGCTAGGTTTTGAAAATTTGCCAACTTCTCAGTATGTTGATGAATTTTGTTCTAAAAGTTTCCTAGCTAATATAAAAATCCTCTTTTTTTGTCTCCCACTTTTTAACTCTTTGTTTTTTGGTCCTTCCAAATTAGCCAACTTTTCCCCATGTTTTTGACTGTTTATATTGTGAGTAAAAGTGGTTGTTACTGAAGAGATCCTTGTCTTTCAGCCTGCAATCAGTTGCTAGATGAGTCACAAGTGACTTTATCCTTCCAAGATTGGCTGGCCAGTGTCACAGAACGCATCCACCAAACTATGCATTATCAGTTTGATGGTAAGTACTTATTTTTCAGCTGAGCTCTTTCTGGAAGAAGAAACTCGATTGTATTACTGTTGTTACTTTATTCTGAAAGAGTGTTATTGAGCTTCTGTATGTTACTTTGTGTCTGTCAAACTAATAGGTTGAACATTCAGATGCTTTGGGCTGGAAGGAACAAGAGAAGGTTACAGTATGAAGAGAATAGAAATCACAGTAAAAGTGTAGTGCTAATAAAAAGTCTAAGAAATGTAAAAAAAATGCTAGTAACTAAAACTCAGTGAGTACCCATTGTTCTGCTAGCCCTGTGTAGGGAATATACGAGTAGTTGAAGAGATAGTCCAAGACCTATGCATGAAAATTTAATGGAGGTGAGAGGGCATATACATGACAAATGTGCATGCAAAGAAAACAAAAGCAAGAGAAACAATATCATTACACACATTTATATAGCACTTTAAGTGCTTTCTTATTTTGAAGATGTTAAATTATATTCTCAAGGGCTTAGTCCTGCTCCAGTAAATGGAAAGACCATATTCAGGCGTAGAACTAGTCATTGAAATTTAGAATTGGAAAGGACATTACAGATATAGGGAGGTCCAACCTTTGATTATGTAGGGAACCCTTCAACCATATTCTTGACAGATGATCAGCTTCTCTTTCAACATTCTTACATTACAGAGAACTCACTATTTTGCACAGCAGCCCATTCCATCTTGGTTAGAATTCTTTTTCTTTCTTTCTTTTTTCCTTTTTTTTTTTCATTGAGCTGAAGTCTATTAGCTCCTAGCAGTCTGCCTGAGTTCTTCCATCTGGAGCAAAATGGATTAAGTTTACTTCCTCTTTTGGTGACAGTTCTTCACATAGTTGAAGAGATGTCATTGACTCCCTGAGACGGCTCTTCTATAGGCTAAATGTCTATAATTCTTTCAGTTATTCTATGTAAGGCATGGTTTCTAGGCCTTTTATTGTCTGCTTTTTTTTTTTTAGGCAGTTAGGGTTAAGTGACTTGCCCGGAGTCACACAGCTAGTAAGTGTCAAGTGTTTGGTCCGATTTGAACTCAGGTCCTCCTGACTTCAGAGCCAGTGCTCTATCCACTATGCCACCTAACTGCCCCGGCCTTTTATTGTCCTAATCATTTTTGGGATACTCTAGTTTTTTGGTGTCCTTCTGAAAATAGAGACCTAAACACAGCATTATGGTCTGACCAGTCAAGAAAGGTTTAGTGGAGGCATTGAATCATGAAATGGAGATATTATGGCTTTGGTTATAGAGAAGAAGCACAGGGCATTTCAGGAAGATAAGATTGCACATGCAGATACTCCAAGTCAAAGGTAAGCCAATGATGTCCTGAGAATGGAAGCAGATTTAGGTGACTGAAATGGAGCATGAGCTAGAGGGTAAAAACAGGTGGAGGTAGTGAGATAACAGGTGTCAGGGTCTTGAAATAGAAGCCAAAAAGTTAGTATTTGGTATAGAACACATCAAACTGTCAACAAGCATTTATTAAGTGCTTCCTATGTGCTACACACTGTACTGAGGGATATACAGAAAGGCAAAAATGTGACTCATTTGTCCTCAGGGAACTAATATTTTAATGAGTGAGACAACATGCAAATACCTATATACACATAAGATATGTGTGTTGTAAATAAATGTAATTTCAGAGGTAAGGCATTAGAAGTGGGAGAGATCAGGAAATACCTTTTTCAGAAGTTGGAATTTGAGGCGGCTTTTGAAAGAGGCTAGGAACCCAAGAGATGGAGATGAAGAGGGAGTGCATTGCAGACACAGAGGACAGCCCATAAAAAGTCACAGGGTTAGGAAGATAAGAAGGTCAAGAGGAAGAGCAAGAAGGGCCCTTTAGTTGGATTGTAGTATAGAAGGAGGGGTGTAAAGTTTAGCAAGACTGGAAAGGTAAGAAGGGCAAATGTAGTATTTTATATTTAATACTGGAGGTAATAGGGAACCACTGGAATTTATCGAGTAGTGGGGTGACGTGATCAGACCTGCGTTTTGTTTTTCTTTTCTTTTCTTTTCTTTTCTTTTTAATTTTTAGGCAATTGAAGTTAAGTGACTTGCCCAGGGTCACACAGCTAGTAAATGTCAAGTGTTTGGTCTGAGGCCAGATTTGAACTCAGGTTCTCCTGACTTCAGGGCCAGTGCTCTATCCACTGCACCACCTCGGCTGCATTTTGGCAGCTGAGACAGGATGAAGTGGACAGACTTGAAGGAAGAAGACTGATGAGAAGGCTATTATGATAGTCTAGGTGTGAAGTGATGCCTCACAGCAGGGTGGAGGCTGAATTGACAGAAGGATAAGTGTACACTAAAGATTCTAATTGTAGAAATGACAAAACTTAATGAGTTCTCCCTTGCCTACTTGAGGGTGACACTAAGGTTTCAAGCCTGGGTAACTGGGAGGACAGTGATGCCATCTACAGAATCAGAGAGTTGTAAAGAATGAAGCAGGCAGTCATTATTCAATTACAGCAAACGATTCTGAGTGCTTTCCACCTTCCTGTACTAGCTATTTGTTGGGAAGAAGCAGAGCTTTGGCAGGACAGCTCTGAATCTATAGGATTCATTCTCTAAACCTTTCTGTTTCAACTTAGACCAATTCTTGTTAACCCTAACTTTCTGCTTTTTGTGTGTCTGGTATGGTCGTTAGAGAAAAATACTGATGGAGACTTGTCATAAAATTTTAATGATCAAAAGGGATCCTAGCTTTTGGTCTATAGTTGATTCTGACTTAGGTGAGATTGACTTATTTTAACCTTTCTTCACTAACACAAGCTGATGAGATTAAAAATTCAAACTGTACATTCACCTCTTGCCTCTATATGAAGAAACCTCACTGACAGTAATAATTAAATGTTATTGATCTTTAATGCCATGTCCATTTTCCCCATCAGAATGTTCTTTTAGTTTCTTTACTTCAGTTCCGTTTCTTTTTTTTGTAGGCAAACCAGAGCCATTGGTGTTCCACATTCCTCAGTCCTTCTTTGATGCCCTACAACAGAGGATCTCTGTTGGAAGTGCAAAGAAAAGGCTCCCCAACTCCACTACAGGTACAGGATCTTTCAGGAAGACTAATCAACTTCTGGCCTCGTGGCATTGACTGTGAAGCTGTCTTTTTGGATACTTCCAGTGGTGGTTTTCTGCCAACCTTACAGAGTCATGTGCCAGTAACATGGGGCAGGGGTTGGTACTAATATAGGCTTGGAATACTGACCACACTCTTAAAAGGTCGTTATCATTATAATTAAGATTAATCAAGTGATTCCGGGAGCTTCAAACCTGGAAAATTAAGAAGGATGAAATGATGTTACTGAAGAGTTCCTTATCCTGAAGTTTGATGTTTTCTAGATCTGGGTAATTACTTCCCAAAATATTATGGTATATAATAGTTAGAATTTGCCTGGCTTTTTGATGACCATTTTTTTCCTTCCGTGGCTATCAGGTTTGAGTGTTAGCAGATTTTTATTTTGAAGGTCTAAATAACTCTCAGACTTAATATACTTATGTCATTACATCTTCATTTTGGTTTACTTATTTCTTAGCTTTATCTTTTTTTTTTTTAACCAAAGATCTCAAGACACTGAACTTCGGTCTGGTAACTTTAATATTAAGCAGCTGGGAGTAGAGAAGAAAAGACAGAGAAGAGTGTTTAGTTCACAAGTGGTCATGCATTTATTTAATGCTTACTCTGTGCCAGACACTGCTAAATGCAGGGAATACAAAGAAAGGCAAGAACGTCCCTGTCCTTAAGGAGCTCACAGTCTATTGGGGTAAATCATTAGTGGTAGGCCACCTAAGGATAGCTATAGTTGGGAATACATGCTGCTTCCTCTGTAAATATTATTTGATGAGAGGATGTTGAATTCTAGAAATGTTTATGACCCAGTTTTTCAATATTTCCCATGAATCCCTGCGTTTGGGAATATTAGCCCTGGAAACCTTTGCTATGTCTTCCACATGAAACTTGGCTCCTTCAGAATAGAGAAATCCACAGCTTATCAGACTTAAACCTTGAATGGTTATGTTAGTGATTTTTCCTTCATCTTAAGATACATTTAGGGATGCATTTCTCTTCTTTATTTTTGCTAGCCAAATCACATACTATGAAACCCTTTTATACTGGCAGTCCCAAAAGTCTTAGTGCAGTTTTAAGCTTTAAGAGCTTAATATGGAGCAGCTAGGTGGCGCAGTGGATAGAGCACCGGCCCTGAAGTCAGGAGTACCTGAGTTCAAATCTGGCCTCAGATCAAACACTTGACACTAGCTGTGTGACCCTGGGCAAGTCACTTAACCCCAATTGCCTAAAAAAAGAAAAGAGCTTAATATTACACTATTTAATACTTTAAAGCTCTTAAAGCTTAAAACTGCACTAAGATTTTTGGGACCCCCATCTATTGCTTGTATCAGGAAACAAGGCTGATAGCCATGTTATAGGCTAAGCATGTTCAGAAAACTTTTATTATATGTAGTTACTTTGGGGATATGATTTGACCTTGGCTCTTATAATAACCAGCTCAGTTATGATTGGGCCTTTAATGTGTAATCACTTTTATGTAAGAAGAGAGATGAAATTCCAAAGCAGAAGTAGATAACAATAGCATATGCATTACATATAAAAAAGAGGATGCATGGTATTATAAAAGAACACCAGATTTGAAATGAGTTCAAATCCTGGCTGTGCCACAAATCACTCATGTGACCTTTTATGACTTTGGGCAAGTCCCTTCACTTCTTGGAGCCTAAGTCTCCTCATTTGTAAAATGAGGTTGAACTAGATAATCAATAAGGCCCCTTCCTTTCCAGCTCTAAATCTGTGATCCTGTTGTCCTATGACTTGGGTTCATATCCGGGTTCTTATTATCCATGTAACCTGGGGCAAATCACTTTCATTCTCTAGGCCTCAGTTTTCTTGTGTATAAAATGGACTAGATGATCTAGATAAAATTGGACTAGATGATTTTTAAGGACTCATTCACCTCTAAATTCTATGATTTTATGTGATTGTGAAAGAAAATCCAAAAGCAGCACTACACAGACTTTTCATGGCAAGAATTCCACAGTGAAATCTTTGATTTTGTGCCATTTAGCCAATCCCTATGTATTTTAAAAGTTACAAATCTCCATGTAAAGAAAGAACAGCATTGCATTGCTAACCCTTTAGTAACTATAAATGAAATCAAAGAGACTATTGTGTAAAGCTTTTAGTAAACTTTAAAGCTCTATATAAATGTCAGCTGTAATTATTAACCATGTCCCCTTTTTAATTGCAGCTTTTGTGCGAAAAGATGCCTTGCCGCTGGGGACCTTCTCTAAATACACCTGGCACATCACAAATATCCTGCAGGTTAAGCAAATCTTGGACACCCCAGAGGTATGGGAAGTTTGTTATCACAACTCTCTGGAGAAAAAGCACAGAAATGTACACAGACACAGATCTTAATGTGTGATTCTTGCCATGTTGAGTTCTTATGGGGTGCTGCCTTTAAAAATGGTCTCTCCTGCTGTTAAAAAAAAACTTTATCATTCAAAGAAATGTCAGTTCATTACTTTATTACATGTTACAGTCTTCTTGGTAAAGCCCATGTAGTGTAGCTGAAAGAGCAGGAAAACACGGCTTGGAATCCTCATCCTCCTTCTTACTTGGGGTAGGGTCTTGGCTGCCACTCTGGGCCCTCCCTGGTTTCCTCTTCTACAAAATGAGGCCTATTCTAGCTCCAACTTTTATGACAGCCCAGGTAGCCTATTGTAACAGTTCATTGAATTGCAGAGGCTTTCCTTTTTTTGTAGCTGGAGATGACTTAGATAGATTGGTAGCTTTGTTTGACTTCTTTGGTTTTAAGTATTCTTCCTAATGAGAAAAAGTGTTTATTCATTCACTAATCATATTTTAAGCACCTACTGTGTACAAGACACTGGAACTACATGACAAAATGAGAAATAATCCTTTCCTTTAAAGAGCTTTCATATTCCTGGGAGGATTTAATATGTATTCAGATAAATAGATACATGATTTTTGTCCTTTGTCCCACGGTGTGGAAAAGACATTGATAAACTGGACTGTCACAGAATATTGGAGGGCCATCAGCCTATGCCAGAAGGATTGATTGAAGGAACTGGGGGTATTTAGCCTAGAGAAGAGAAGACTTAGGAGGGGACATGATAACTTCTGTTCAAGAATTTGAAAGATTGTCATGTGGAGGAGCGATTAGGCTTTTTCAGTTTTGGCCACTGAGAACAGAAGTAGGAACAGTGGGTTGGAGTTGTATGAAGGCAAATTTAGACTTGATGTCAAGTGCAAGAGTGCAGTTGACTGCCTTGTTAGAGGTCTTCAAGCAGGGTTGGATGGCTACTTGTTGAATATGCGATAGTGGGGAGTTTCTTTTTTGGGTATGGATTGAACTTAGATGGCTGATGAGGTTCCTTCCAACTCTAAAACTGTGATGATTTGAGGAGAGAGGGAACCAGAGGTGTGCTGGAGCCAGTTCATACCAACTGGCAAGAGCTGATTATTAAATTTTCTGTGTGAGCATTTGTATCTCAAAAATCAACAAATGGTACAAATCAGGGCTTGATTAATTGTTTTATTGATTATCTAGACTTAAAAATTTGATGGATGTTAGGTAGACAAAATATTATTACTTCAGATTAAACTCAAAAGTGTATTGGCTAGCTGGGTGACCCTGGACAAGTCACTTAACTCCAATTGCCTCACCAAAAAAAAAAGTGTACTGGTATACGTTTTTTGCAGAGAGCTATTATAGAACATTTACTAGCTTACCACTGGTGAGAACACTAACAACTAGTTAGATCAAGAAAACCTTGCAGTAGGAAGTGGCATTTGAGTTGAGCTAAGAGATTCTAAGAGTTGGAGGTTAGGAGGGGAGAGTGCATTCCAGGCATGGAAAGATTTAACAAGTACATTGAGTGGGAGATGGAACACCACGTTCAGGCAGGAAACAGCAGATAATCTAGTTTGGTTGAAATGTAGAATACATAAAGGTGAGAGTCAGGAGAGGCAGGCTAGAGCCAGATTGGGAAAAGCTTTAGATGCCAAACTGAAGAACTTATTTTATCCTGTAGGAAGTATCAAGCCATAGAAGTGTTGTGAGAACTGAGGTGACTATGCATTAGGAAGATTATTTTGGCAGCTAGAAGATTCTGGAAGTAGGCAAACAAATCAGTAGGTTATGACAATAGTCTGAGTAAGGAGTGATGAGTGGCCAAACGAGGGAAGGGAATGGATTTGAGGGATTGTAGAAGTAGAATGGATAAAACTTGTCAAGTAAATGGATATAGAGGGGTGAGGGATAGAGAGCACATCACTCCATGGTAGCAGACCTTAGTGACTAGGACAGTGGTTTTCTTAACACAAATGGGAAGTTTGGAAGAGGGACAGATTTTGTGGGTAAGTTAATGATTTCCCTTTTGGATTTGTCGAGTTTGAGATGACAGTGGGCCATCTAGGACAAGATGTTCCCACAGGAAGCTGATGATATAGCACTGGTGGTCAGGAGAGAGACTGGGGCTGGATATATGAATTTAGTGTTTATCTGCATAAAGACTATAGTTGAATTCATGGGAACTGATGAGATTTCCAAGAGGAAGTGTATGGAGAGAAAAGCAGGCCCAGGAGAGAGCCTCAGGAGGCATACATGGTTAGGGAGGGAGTGAGTGTTGTCGTGGCTGGTAATCCAGCCCAGGAGATAAAGAGGGATTAGAGAAAAGAGAACAAGGAAAGAGCCATGTTATGGAAACCAGAGCAGCAGATAGTGATGGGGGAAAGGGTGGATCAGAAACTGCAGAGGTCCAGGGGGAGGAGGCCATGCATTAACCTAGTAACCTATGGTATTGGAAGAATCTTTCTCTGACATGTGTTTACATGTAAGTCAAGTAATGTTTGGGCTACTGTTAAGAGACTTATAATTTCCAGATCACTATTGATTTCTTTGATTTTAATGGCAGGCAGTTTGAAAGTGTTTGAGGCTTTGCAAAGATTATATGCTGGATGTGCAGGTAATTAGGCCTTTACCTCAAACTTCTGCAGAACTGGAGTTCTTATTTTTTGTTTTGTTTTTTGTTGTTGTTGTTTTGTTTTTTTGCGAGGCAATTGGGGTTAAGTGACTTGCCCAGAGTCACACAGCTAGTAAGTGTTATGTGTCTGAGGCTGGATTTGAACTCAGGTCCTCTTGACTCCAGGGCTGGTGCTCTATCCACTGTGCCACCTAGCTGCCCCCCTGGAGTTTTTGTCATAGCTAATTCCACTTACCTAATCATCTATTAGTGTTTTTCACTCCCTGAAGAGATCTTTGAACAATTTAAAAACTTTCCCTCAGGCAGATAAAGAAGGCTTGGTAAGAAAATGGATTTATATTATTAGTTGAGAGTTAGTTTTACAATGGAAAGGCTAATGTAATGCAACTAATTCAACACCGGATTACATTGATAAGTCATACCACATCCCCAGAAGAAAGATAACTGACTTTTGTAGTGGCCATGTAGCTTATATGTGATTTGTAGTAGCTTATATGTAGTTTGTGAGGACACTGCAGATATACAGTGACTTCAGGAATCACCTCAGGGCAGTTCACAAGTAGCTTCAAGGTGGGGTGGAATGGGATAGAGGAAAGAGAACAAGGAGGGAGGAGAATTCAATAAGAAAGTGAGGCGAAGAGCTTTATTTTGGAATGGTGGGTGATGGGCAGCCACTGAAAAGTTTTGAGGGGACAGGTGATGGGGTATATAAAAAAATAAGCTTGACTACAATCCAAGGACCTGTACTGGAGGTGAGTAAACCAGAGTGAAGTTGCAGGGATTACTGGAGATAATCTTGCTTTGCTTCACACTAAGGATTGCACTGTGCATGCAGAAAGTAAAGCATGGGTGTATATAATGTGTGGAAAAAAGGGCAGAGTTCACTGACAGAATAATCTTGAGGTACAAGGGAAAAGGAGAAATCAAATACTGTTTGAGTGCACCAAACTAGTAAGAGTTTTTTTAAAAAATCGTTGAATTATCTGTCTCCTTTAGTAAAGATTTGTCCCTTCTAATTCTTTCTGGTGTTGTCTTTGTGATCAGATGCCCTTGGAAATCACCCGGAGCTTTATCCAGAACCGGGATGGGACTTATGAGCTGTTTAAGTGTCCCAAAGTGGAAGTAGAGAACATAGCAGAAACTTATGGTCGCTTAGAGAAACAGCCAGTGCTCCGACCTTTGGAACTGAAAACTTTTCTGAAAGTTGGTAAGTTTAATTAATGTTTACTGATGGCACTTTTGAGTCTTGCTGTGTGTATCAAACCATATACAATGTGTTTGATGAAGAAGTTAATTAAAAAATGATATATTCGCTAGTATCATACAACCTGCTTTCTTAGACATGCATAGGAATCATAGGATTTAGAACTGGAAAGGGACCTTATAGATTATCTAATCCAAACCCCTCATTTTACAGATGAGGAAATTGAGGCATGGAGGCATTAAACTGACCATCCCAAGACTACACTGCTAGTAAGTAGCAGAGCTCAGGTCATAGGTCCCCTGACTACAAATCCAGCACTATTTACACTCTACTCTACTACCAATACTTCTCATATTTCAATGGATTTGACATTTCATAGATGAGAGTTTTCCTCCATTGTTACGGATTATAATCCTTTTCATCCTGCATAATTTTTGTCCTTGTTCTTACATAGTTCTTCTACAGAGACTCTGACTAGTGTGCCTTTCTCTTTTTCATTTTGAGGGTTCTAGTGGACTATAGATGGCTGTCCATCTACTTTGCCTTATATATACCATTTAACCAGCCCACCTTTTCTGATCATACATTTCTATGGTGATATTTCTTGTATGTAATCCCTTCTCTTTCTGATATTTATATCACTTTGATCCAGGCCCTCTTTACTCCCCTTCCTAAACTATTACAATAGCCTTCTGGTTGCCCTCCTTGCTTCAAGTCTCTCTTCCACCCAGCTATCAGAATCAGTCTTTTTAAAGCCCAAGTCTGACTATGTAAACCCTCCATTCAATAAACTCAAGTGGCTCTCTATAACCTAAAAGATAAAATATAACATCCTCTGTTATGCTTTTAAAGTTTTTCATAACCATAACCTTTACTCCTTTTGTAGTCTTCTTAAACCTTACCAAAGTCAAGTTAGCAAGCATTTAACAAGCACCTAATATGTACCAGGTACTCTGCCAAATTCTTGGGATATGAAGAAAGGCAAAAAACAGTTTTTATTCTCAGGGAACTCACAGATACTCTATGATGACTTTGGCCTCCTTTCTGTTCCTTACATGTGACACTCCATGTCCTGACTCTACACATTTTCGCTGGCTGTCCCTTGTGTCCAGAATGCTCTCCCTCTATAAATCCACCTCCTGGCTTCCCTGGCTTCCTTCTGGTTTCAAATAAAATCCCACCTTCTACAAGAAGTCTTTTCAGGTTCTCTTGCCTTCCCTCTGAAATATCTCCATTTAGTTGTGTGTATAGCCTCTTTATACATATTTGTTTGCTTGTCTTCCCCATTCGATTGTGAGTTCCTTATAGACAGGGATTGTTTTTTGTCTTTCTTGTAACTCCAGCTCTTATCACAGTACCTGCCATATAGTGGGTACTTAATAAATACTTCTTGACTTGATATCTTATGTGGACTTCTAAGTTAGGTGACCAACAGAATTATGGACTAGCCACCTTCCCTGATCTCAAACCCCTCCAAAAGAGCACTTATGTGCAAGGGATGAAGCAATTTCATCTATCTCTACAGGTTAAAATGTGAGGGAAGCTAACAAGGAAACAACTAGATGAGCTGATAACAAAGAAAACTGATCTCTGTCCTACAGTGTTTACTCAGCACTCCTTCCCTTACCAGCCACAATGCTCATCCAGGTCTGTACAAGCCAACCCATTAGTTTACAACAGAACTCAGTTCTCCCCTCTTCCTGTGCTATGGAAAGCCAAAAGACAGAAGCTTGAGAGACTAGGACTGCAGCCTGGGAGTTCTCTGTGCTGTTAGAGAACTGAGAAAACTGGAACAAGATACCAGTGTATGGCAGTGGCCATTATGCCTGAAGGAAAGAGGACTGACATCCAGCTGGAGCTAATTCTATCTCCTCAAAGTGACTTAAGGCAGAGATTGAGGTCAGTGAAATATGAATTGCCCAGTATGAAAGTCCAATCTCCAGGAGAATTGTAATTAAAGAAGAATTAAGAAAGTGAACAATAAGGAAAAATGACTGAAGTTACCAAAGATCTCAGGAGAAAGAAAATTCTTGAAGACCCTGAGAATAAGCAGATAAATAAATGGGGAATATAAGTACCATAAAAGAATACAGCCTCTACCTAAGCTGAACAAATCCAGATACCTATGAATAAATATTCCTAGACAAAGAAATTCAAGAAAAGTAACAGTAAAAAAGTATGCTTCGATCTGTATTTATAGTTCATTAGCACTTTCTCTGCTATAGCATTTTTCATTGAGGACCCTTTAGAATTGTTTTGGATCATTGTCTTGATCAGAGTAGCTAAGTCTTTCATAGTTGATCATCCTTATAATATTGCTATTACTGTGTACTATGTTCTCCTGGTTATGCTCGTATCATTTTGCATCCGTTCATATAAGTCTTCCCAGTTTTTCTGAAGTCATACTGTTCATCATTTCTTCTAGCACTTATAGTATTTCTTATGGTATGTCATTACAATCATATACCACAACTTGTTCAGCCGTTTCCCAATTGATGGGCTCCCCCTCAATTTCCAATTGTTTGTGACTACAAAAAGAGCTGTTATAAATATTTTTGTACAAATAGGTCCTTTTTCCTTTTTTTTTTTTTGAAATCTGGAATGTAGACCTGATAGTGGCACTATTGGATCAAAGGGTTTGCACAGTTTTATAGCCCTTAGGGTGTAGTTCCAAACTGTTTTCCAGAGTGGATAGACCAGTTCTTCACAACTCCACCAACAGTGCATTAGTGTCCTAATTTTTCCACATCCTCTCCAGAATTTGTCATTTTCTTTTTCTGTCATGATAGCTAATCTGATAGGTGTTAAGGTAGTATCTCAGAGTTGTTTTAATTTGCATTTCTCTAATCAGTAGTGATTTAGAACATTTTTTGTGTGGCTGTTGATAGTTTTGATTGCTTCTGAAAACTGCCTGCTTGTATCCTTTGACCATTTAACAATTGGGAAATAGCTTTTATTTTTATAAATTTGGCTCACTTCCCTAAGAATTTGAAAACTAGGGTCTTTATGAGAGAAACTTACTGCATGTAAAATTTTCCCCTAGTTTTCTGTTTTCCTTCTAATTTTGGCTACATTAGTTTTGTTTGTGCAAAAGCTTTTTAATTTCATACATTCAAAATTATTGCTTTTGCTTCCCATGATCCTCTCTGTCTCTTATGTGGTCATAAACTCCTCTCTTATCCATAGGTCTGACAGGTACATTTTTTGCATGCTCCCCTAATTTACTTATGATATCACCCTTTATGTCAAAATCATTTATCCATTTTGACCTTATGTTGGTGTGAGATGTTGGTCTAGGCCTAGTTTCTGCCAAACTGCTCTCTAGTTTTTCCGACAGTTTTTGTCAAATGGTGAGTAATTACCTCAAAAGCTTGGATCTTTGCATTTGTCAAACACTAGATTACTATGGTCATTTACTACTGTGTATTGTGTACCTAATCTATTTCACTGATCCACCACTCTATTTTTTAGCCAGTGTTACATTGTTTTGATGATTCCTCTTTGTAATATAGTTTGAAATTTGGTACTGCTAGGCAGCCTTTGTTCACATTTTTTTCATTGATTGCCTTGATATGCTCAACTTTTTGTTCTTCCAGATGAATCTTGTTATTTTTTTTCTAGCTCTCTAGAGGAATTCTTTGGTAGTTTGATTGCTATGACACTGAATAAGTAAATTGATTTAGGTAGAATTGTTGTTTTTATTATGTTGGCTTCTCCTACCCATGAACAATGACTATTTTTCCAGTTGTTTAGGTCTGTCTTTATTTGTGTGAAAAGTATATAATCCCTGGGTTTGTTTTGGTGCATAAGAGTCCCAAGTATTTTATATTGTCTGCATTTTTTTTAAGTAGAATTTCTCTATCTTTTGTTGCTGGGTTTGGTTGGTAGTACATAGAAATGCTGATGATTTATCTGGGTTTACTTTATATCCTGCAATTTTGCTAAAGTTGTTAATTGTTTCAACTAATTTTGTAGTTGATTCTCTAGTGTTCTGTAAGCATGCCATCATATCATCTGCAAAGAGTGATAGTTTTGTTTCCTTTGTCTATTTTTATTCCTTCAATTTCTTTTTGTTTTGATCGCCATAGCTAACATTTCGAGTGCAATATTGAATAATAGTGGTGATAATGGCCATCCTTGCTTCACCCCTAATCTTATTGGGAAGGCTTCAAGTTCATCCCCATTATAATACATGCTTTGGGTTTTAGATAGATACTACTTATAATTTTAAGAAAGGCTCCATTTATTCTTTTGCTTTCTAGTGTTTTTAATAGGAATGGGTGTTGTATTTTGTCACAAGCTTTTTCTGCATCTTACTGAAATAATTATATGATTTTTGTTGTTTTTGGTATTGATATGATCAATTATACTGCTAGTTTTCCTAATATTGAACCAACCCGGAATTCCTGGTATAAATCCCACCTGGTCATAGTGTATGATCTTTGCGATGATCTCTCTCTGTTTTCAAATGGAAATCCCTTTGAATCACCCAGAACTTAAATTCCTTAAAGCCATAACCATTTCTGGTAGAACATTTGTTTTTAAAAGTTGTCTTTGTACCCCAGAATAGCATGAGATCATTAAAAGCGTTGTGTAGTTTCTCAAATACTGTCCACCCTGCCCTTTTCCTCCTGTTCAGTTTTGCATCCAATTCATTGTCCAACTATAATACCTGGCCCAAATATATGTACTGATATACTAAATCATTCAATTGTTTGTCCTAATCTGAACAGTACATATTTTTTGTCCATTTATGTTTTTCCTTTGAGTATTGTTGTGCTGATTTTTTTTCTTTTCTTTTTTTTTTTGGGGGGGGGTGAGACAATTGGGGTTAAGTGACTTGCCCAGAGTCACACAGCTAGTGACTATTATGTGTCTGAGGCCGGATTTGAATTCATGTCCTCCTGACTCCAGGGCCGGTGCTCTATCCACTGTGCCACCTAGCTGCTCCCACTGATTTCTTATTTAGTAATTGTAGATCTCATTGAGGAAGCAGTCAGCAC